GACCACCGAAAAATCCAACATCATTGGCCAAAACCGAACGGTCTTGCGAAAACCCCGCTGGCATACCCCACTACAAGGCAAAGAGGAGAGTGAGGTCAAACGTCTCCTGACGTATTATGTGTTCTACGGAATGCTTTGTCGAAGGGAGTTACCACAGCTACGTTAGATGGCTTCTTCAGCTGACAGCCAGATAAGAACGTGAGCATAAACGGCTTACCAGCCACGAACATTCGTCGGCAGCAAACGAAGGTATGTCCATCCATCCTAACCCTAGCCCAACCCTAGTGTGCCCACTAAGGCCCATCTTCCCTCAATACTCTTATCAATAGCACTTACTTCCCTATAAGTAATTCTCACCCCTTTCTTCATTCCCCACTCGCCCTATTCAGATTCAGATTTTTCGTTTGAGGATAGGATGCTGAGAGCCCATATTAACACTTTTCCAGTAGATTTATGTGCTTTTCGATCCCCTTTAGAACGAGTCAGTTGATGATGCGGACACCACTTCTTCTAGGAGTCGGTTCCAGGCATTGATTACTCGGCGTGAGGACTCTGCGGAGACCATGTTTGTTCTTTGCTTTTTTAGTCTCATACTATGTCCGCTAAGGTGTTTCGACCCAGTGGGAAGGAAAAGAGAAGATAGATCATGTCCAAAGTCATTTCTCAAAACCCTGTATGGCGTGATTGTGCATCTTCTCCGTCTGCCAAAGAACAGAGTGAAGAGGTTTAGATCCTTAGGTCGGTCTTCATATGTGAGGCCGGCCACCGCAGGGATCAGGCAGGGGGCTGCCCTCTCAAATCTTCCTCGAAGGTCCGCGTCACCCTTCAGACAAGGATTAGCCGCCTGTGTACAGCTTTCTAGTTTATACCTAACTAAGGATGTGTACAAGGTGGTGAACGTGTCACCACTTATTTTCGTTAACGTTCTACGTGGCGTTCAGTGAGTCCCAAACCTCCGAACTGCTATCAATCGACAGTGAGTAGTGGTTTTCAAGTGATAACTGACCGTGACTCCTAGATCATTGTGGGTCAGTACTAACGGTGAAAGAGTCCCATCAATATTGTAGGTGTTGCCATGTGTATGGGTGCCCCGAGTGCATGGTCACACATTCACCTGCATTGATAGGCATCAACCACTTCTCTGACCAGGTAAACAAGCTGTTCAGGTCTGCCTGGAGTGCACGCATATCCCCATCGTTCCTAATTTCTCGCCAGATGTTTACATCGTCAGTTTAGAGAACCATAGGGGATTTCATGACGTTTTGCAGCTCATTTACCTATATGAGAAACAGTAGGGGGCCCAGGACTGTGCCTTGTAGCACTTCACTCTCTACCGACCTCCAAATGGAGAGTTGAGAATTGATCCTAAATCTTTTTCTCCTACCAACAAGAAAATCTCTTATCCATCGAGCAGATTGCCAATGATTCCAGAACTTTCCAGTTTGCGAAGCAACCTAGAGTGAGGTACTTTGTCGAACGCCTTACTAAGGTCAATGAAAATGACATCTACATGCATCCTATCAGCTTTAGACTTAACCCAATTTTCTCCGACTGTAGGAAGGTTCGTCAAGCAAGGGAAATTTCTACGAAAACCGTGCTGTGAACGTGACAATAGTGTCTCTCTCCAGGTGAACTATGATGGCTTTCTTGATTACTCTTTCTAGGATTTTCACTACAGTACTAGTCAAACGTATCGGTCTGTAACTTGACGGGGGCTGCCTAGAACCTGCCCTGTGGATGCGTGTTACTACGGCATCCTTTCAGTGATAGGGGAGAGTGCCTTCACCGAGAGACAGTCTGAATATAGAGGCCAATTGGCCGGCCACACGGAGTGCAAGCTCTTTGAGCAGCCTTGGGTGCGGCTCATCCGGTCCCATTGATTTTCAAACATCGTGAGTACCTAATGTCCAAAATACATCACTACGATCGACATTCGCAGTGCTTATTCTGTTGGATATCAATGCCACTGCTGTCCTCAGAGGATTCCTATGCGAAGACCTTAGGAAAATATCTACCCATCGCTTCTGTGTTTCCCCTATTGTCCTCGATCAAACAGTCATTTTTGGTCCCATTGATTAGGGCGGGCATACTACGACAAGTCTTATTTCTGTAGTTCATATGGGAAAATAACCTCTTCGAATGTTGCGATACAGCCTGGGCAGGACGTTTCGGAGCGTATTAGAGACCACCGGATAGCAGCGATACATTTATTGCGAGATTCTTTTGTAAAGCTTCTCCACTTCGGGTGTAGCGAGGTGGGTGGCAAGACCCCAACACTTTTTATTACGTCATAGCAAGATTCCGGTTTTCGTGGTTATCCACGGAGGATGGTGTTTCCGTCCCCTCGGGACAGTCCACGGAATGGAAGGTTGGGTCACTCGTGCATATAACTGTTTGGAGGAACGCCATGCATCTTCAACTGAGGTTTCTGGAATGACTGTCTAGCCCTTCAAAGGGGCTGCCAGGTTAGCAGCTTCCATATCCGCTCTCCATATGTTGGGTCTAGTTGAAGCATCCAGCTGGTACAAGGCTTCTGCTGTGAGTCTGAAGACGATCACAGCATGATCACTTTCGCCAAGGAGTGTTAGGTGCCGGATAAAGTACACGTCATCTGTGTGTAAGAATACTAAGTCTAGAACTGATGGAGCATGCTGATGGTCATGTCTGGTTGGTGTCCTGATGTATTGTGTGAGGGCCAAGGAAATCGATGTTTCCACAAACCGGTGGTCGCGAATTACGTGATGCCTTTCTTGTTAGTCTATCCAAGTCAACTGATGGTGCTTTGAAGTCTCCTACAACTAGACATTGGCATTTATCTATCCAGAGGGTCAGCTTACTCAGGAGGAGGTCTGCTGCTTCAAAATCAGGGCTTCGATATATCACGATCACGCCAACATCGTACCCCTTGCATTTTAGTCGGCAGCGCAGCATTTCACACGTCCTACTTTCATGTGCAACTGTTTCTACGGCTTTTACAGTTAAGGTGTTCCTAGCGTAAAAGATGACGACACCACCTGTGCGTGCTAACCTATCCTTTGTAAAAGGGACGAATCCTCGTAAGTGTGTTATACGGTCATCGATCCAAGAAGGGAACCAAGTTTCTGAGACAGCGATGACGTCAGGGCTTTCGTTGCCTATCACGTTGCCAGGCCCAGTCCACTTGTTTAAAAGGCTATGTGCATTTGTTACAAGACAACGAACATACTTGAATGAGCTTTCGTCCTATCCGTAGAGGCCTTGGCATCATTTGTTGCTGAAACCTCACCGCACAAAAACCCACTACTTTCAGATTCTGGTTTCCAGCTGCTAATCTGGATTTCGGTTCTTCTTCTGCTTCTCGGTTTTGGGTTCGACCAGCAAGAGCCAGACCCTTCCGCACGAACACTCCAGATCCTTGAAGCCTGTGAACGGTCTTCAGAATCTGATTCCTCTCATCCGCTGACTTGAACACAACTTTAAGTGGCCGAATCTTATTTTCAGTAATGACTGTTTCCTGTTTTCCTACTCTATATATCCTGAGTAGGGTGACTCCTGGAATGTTTTCTGACGAAAGCTGGTTTATCAAACTTTGTACCTTGTAAATGTTATGTTCGAAACGTTTACGTGGTTCTGGGTCTGTACTTTCTTCCACTCTGTGGAAAACTACGGACCTGTCAAGGATCTCCACTTTGTCTTTGCTATGTGGAGTGATAATGGCTGTCTCGGCTACCGTTATTTGCTTCTTAGCGTACCGTTTAGGTTTAGTTACTCACCATTTTTCGGAGTCGGGAACGTAAGGTTCACTGAAGCCTAGTTCAGTGACCCTGGCACTGAGAGCCTCAGAACGGACTTTGACACCAATTCTATTTGGTTCTTGTAAATGATTGGGTCGCAAGGCGGAGTATGACCCGGGACCCGTATGGTTCTGTCGTTGGAACTGGGAGCGCTTCACTCCTGTTTCTTTCATCTGAAGTAGACCTAGTCTTAGGGTCAGTGGTTTTCGGGCTGGATCTGTCAGCTCTGGGCATGATACATCCAGAAGATACTCGCTTCACCCTGCTTTGTGTAGGTTTTTCCAAGTCGTTGTCAGCAAACCTAGTAGGTAGTCTACGCCCCCGACTACAGCTTGTCGTCAGACTTTCTTAAAATTTTGCACAGCGATCTGTGTATCAGTTGATGCTGTGTCTCTATCACTTTCACAGCTATTGGCTTTAACTTCCGACGACAGTTTCCTAATTATCTTATCTAAAAGTGTTTTTACTTCTACTAGAGTGCGAATATCCGAGCGGCACAACGTACAAAGCCAGACACTTCCTGCTTTGCTGTACCTGTTATATGCTGAAAGTGTGAAAAATGTGCAATTATCGCGGAACCAACTCTCACATTCGTTATACTGCATACCAGGAGCCACTGTGAACTGGCACCCGGCCCTACCACAAGCATTTTTACACCATGAAGCAGAAACTACAGAAATTCGCCCAGTAAGAGTTCCCGTCTCGCTTTGCGTGAATAATATTCCGATTAGAGCAACAATACGTCAGCCTTAGATGTATAATCGCAAAAAAATGACAAGAATCTAGCTGAATGTGAAGTCACTCCCCTTTTCACACAGCTAGTCCAATTAAACCACTCGCCTTATGTCTGGCACTTTTTAAGTGATGCCTAATGCTTACTCACAGGTGCTCACAAAAACGGGAATCGCAAAATGTAAGTGGGTCTTATCAGCAGTTTTGTTGTTTTCTCAAACAAACCAAACTACAATTTGCGAAAATATGTTCAAGTACATAATCGCTAGCTCCAAAGCTATGAGCAAGAAAAAATGGAGACTTCTGCGACCACTGGAGAAGTGTAACCCATCAAAAAGTACCGAGCCTCAAGACCTAGACGCGAGGGCTCACAAACTACAGGTTTCCTCTTCTCACACTATAGATGTTGGATGTTGAATTGAAAGGCGCTCACCGTTCGTGTGATATTTTTAAAAGACACCAGCTGATTCCTGGTGTATTATCTGCTTATGGGTCATGAGTGTGTGCCTTCACACCTCTAAGTCTACTGCTGTCATATATTCGTGGCATACACGCTGCTTGTGGAGTACCTCTATTCTTGCATTTACACTATTTACATATTTGGTATATCGACCAGTAAAAACCATTGACAAAATTGCTCGTAGTACGTTGTCGGTGCATAACTTTCTGATTTATTACGTATGACTTTTCTAGTGACTATGTTTCTGAGTACCCTTTCACCAAAGTTTTATGTGGCGCTTACGGGTACAAGTTCTCTTATATCAGGACTTATTTTGGTATTGGTTTCCATTCTCTGATGATTTGATGTTAGATCTTCGAGTGGTGGTATTTCAAGAAATATGGAAAATCATTCATTGAGCAAATCTCTTGGACTCATATATACCCATTAATAGGTGGAAGTGATGAAGACAATGACTGCGAAAGCGTGGACTCCAATGGTCAATTAACAGCTACTCAAGGTTTGTTTTTACAGTTTCACCATATCTTTTAGAATGTAAGGTGTGGAGAAATCCTTATAGTTTGTTTAGAGGGGCAGAATACAGAAAGTTTTTTCGTGAAACAGGTCGGGATCCACTCACATATTACGATATGAATCTGTCAGCGCAAGATCATCAGACTTTTTTCACGTGTGAAGCAGATGCTGGTAAACCGGAATACGAAAGTAGGTTGGTATATTATTAGGCTACTGTAAAGTAATGCAACTTTCATGGAGGGAACGTAATCACGAAGAAAGAATCAAGAAGACCAAGGAGGCCTTGTCAAAGAATCCTGAGTGCGCTACGGCCATGATTTTACTTGCGGAAGAAGAGTGTTCTTACATCGTAGACGTAAGTGCATCAAAACCGTTCTTTGCCATTTTATTTTATCTGATATAAGCCGAAAAATTTTTTGTGTTTATTCATACATTAGGAAGTGTATTGCATATGCTCAGGAGGGCATATGCCAACAGAGGCTAATCAATTTGATCCGGTGTAACAACAGAAATCTACAAATATCAACCAATAATAACTAAGAACCGCTGCAAAAAAGTGGCTCCCGTGCATCAGTAACCTAGTGGATAGCGCTTTGGCGTTTGAAGCGATGGGTGAGGGGTCCGAGTTTCAATGGAAATATCTCTCACCGTGCTGCAGGTAGATCCAGGTAACAAGTCCCAAATGGGATGAGACACGCGTCCTGGATTTTATTGCTAGCCCTCGCTAAGTGGATTATAACAATGAATATACGTCCATTTAATAAAATGAGTAACCTGTCTGTTTGTTTCGAAATGAATCATATTAAATTTATATACTTTTTATTTTCGAGTATATTGTATGTTGCTGTGAATAGATGGTGGGTATACAGACAGAAAACAATCCCGACTAAAATTTCACCCAATGGTGTAATGGTTATCTATACTTGCGGCGGATATCGCAGACGAAACAGGATGGGTTTGATTTCTTCCTGAGTAACCCTTATGTTATTGATATTTCTACGTGGAAAGCTTTCTTCTTCAAATGGGTAGGAAAACTGATGTTGAAGTAGCATGAGTGTTGTCTATGTATTTCATCCGCTGACGAGTGGTTCCACTCACTATCTTTCCGGTATTTTTAATAACCCTGTTTAGTTACGGAATATTATCTAACACTGATGTCTTCTCCTCACCCACCACTGTTCGCGATCGACATAAAGACTGTTTGTCTACTTATGTCTAAGTTGTTTTTGCCATCCATCGTTGTTGGAGCCAGCTGGAATCAGTCTTCTCGCATCAGGCAGTTCGGATGATGCCATGGAAATCCAATTATATTTGCTAACCTTCAGGTGTAGGTTACCAACTGTCTTTACTGCTGTTTCTACATAATATATATCGCATCAGGTGTCTTCAGAATGAGCATTTCTGTCATGTTTAGATAAAGGCTTAGCCAACTTACATCCATGAAAAATTTGTGCATTGTGGAGAGAATCAGTTTATTAGAAATATATTTCTAATGAATGTTTACACACAATGGTGTTATTTAGTTTTGGTAATATTTGGAGCAAAATTACTGTCCGTGATCACATCAATTGTTGGAATTATTTGTTCACACACTTACGGATAGAGTTCATATATATGGTGTTTTTATGCTGTAGGTTTGTCATTTTTTTCTCCAGTACTATGTTCCATGTTGTTGACAGTTGTGTTGAGTCACTTTTGTTGCATGTGTTCGGCGTGACATGTAGGAACATGGATTCAGTCAATAATCTTTCTTTCCATTTGTTCACATTGGTCAAGTAGGTAAAACATAGATACACTATAGTTTTGGCTTTCTTAAAAAGGGAAAAAGCTGAGTATGTCTGGCATATGTTTCATACCTGTTAAGCGTATGATGATGCTTCAAGACTGATCTGTAGCGACTGCTGGTTTAATGTTAGGAAGTGGTGGTTGAATGCCTTGACCACTTCACTTACTTGCGAGGTTATATCTGCCTCAACGGGTTAGTTACTAACATAATATCAGATTGCACAAAAAGCCCAGTTTTATATTTGAGAAGTTCCGCCATCTTTAATATCAGCAAGATATCCGAATGCCTATTGAAATGATAAAAAACTGCATTACTTCGCTGTCCTATTATACACCTGTGGGACATGGCCGTTAAAAGCGGAAGATAGGAAGTGATTACAGGTAAAAAAATTTGGAACGATACTCCTTTGTGTAACGCTCTATGTTCGTCTGTCTTTTACAAAGTAAATCAAAACCTTGAAAAAATGAATTCATAGACGCTTTACTTCGGAAAAGTTAGATGTGCAAAACTAGCCTCCTGCATGTTAACAGATAATGCACTTCATCGTTGTTGGATTCTGAGTGGTTTCAAGATGGAAAATTTTCCAGGTGCGACTGTCGAGTGTAAAGATACATCATTAGTGCATTTCTCCACTCAGACATCTTTCATTTTGACTGATAACAAACATATCTAAGAGGGACAAACAATATGAAAGACCGAAGTTAATACTTAGATCATCAGAAAGGAATGTAAATCAAACAGACAGAAGTAATCACCTAAAATCTTAAAACAAGCAATCGAATTCCTCGTCAAAGCATACATTTTAAGTTTCAAATTTGTACATTTGAAATTGAAGTTCTTTCGTACACGTCTCTGCTTCTGTACCTGTGTAAAACAGGTTTCTTTTTGGTTTGCGTAATAAAGAATACGTTGGCCATCAACAATGTATATTTGAAGAGCTGTGCTCACTGGCAAAACAGATTTCTGAAGCCTGCATATTGTCAAATGCATTCGTGAAATACATTATTTAGTTTCCAGGGTACACTTCATGGCTACAGTCTCGCGTATTTTCAGTGTTTCTTTGCTGGCCTAAAGAGTATATCGAACAAGTATTGGTATTATAAACTGACCAATTATTTCGGTACTAGGGAGACCTTTTGTTCTCTCACTTGGTTCGCTAAACCATATCAGTCACTTTAGGTTATGGAAAAGTTCCCGTCACGTTACTTTGATCAAGATGGTCACTTCTTAACGACATATGATGGTGTCAGGCAGAAGTATGTAGAATTTATTAACTCAATGAATAAGGACCACATGTGTTAAGCACTGGGAGTTGATTCCAGTCGAAAAAAACATTCATTTTAATACTGTTACTGCTTTTGTAAGTTGCACTGATGTGCTGCTAGATACCATCAACAAGTACTTCGTATGCATTTGTCAAGGTGTATTATTTTCTTTCTAAGTTTAACTGTCATAATGCGTATTATTACACCTTACTTTTGACAGGACTATACAATGTACATCCATTTCCATGTAATTTATTTGTTTTGGATGGTAATGTCTCTTTAATTCTCTTTTAGGTGGAGAAAGTATACAAACAAGCCTATAAAGTGGCAGAAACAAATCTTCGCCGTTCTCAACAGCTACAAAATCACAGTCCAGCACACGAATCAATGTATCGCAGGGATATTCATGCATTTGTGTTCATTCGACGTCGACTTGCGATGTGTGCAAGAAAATTGGGAAAATTGAAGGAGGCAATTAAAATTATGAAAGATGTATGTTTTACTTTTGCACTTAGAGAGTGGTATTTCACATGTTCTGCTTTTCACAGACAATCAGCTTCATTATACCTTTAACACCGGCAGCCATGTTAAGCTTTGGTTTTTCTTGACTACCTCACAACCAAGTGTGGATTACAGTTACTCATTTTAAAACTTTCCCAAGTATTTCACATAACCTTGCTTTAATCTGCTTTCTTGAAGTTGGTATATCTAGTGGTATGTTATGCCAAGATGTGTTTGATCAACTGATGAACCGAAAAATCGAAATCTCCATACACTTATGCATAAGAATTCGATTAGTGTGATATATTTGCCGCACTATTTCGTTGAGAAATACACTGCCACAAAATCTGTGTGTAGACAGTCATATTTGGCTGTCACACTGTTGTTGTTATGCTCTTGTAAGCATACTTGTGTCACAATTAGGTGAAGTTGTTTCTTATTCTGTAGTCACGTGGAGTATTACTACTACTATTATTATTTATCCCTTGGGTTCCTTGTGGAACATAGGGCTTCAGTAGCATCAGGTGGAGTATAGAGAATTGAATCTAAAGAGTTTTCAACATCCTTCCCTTTTCCAAGGTGCTGTCAGAAGCTGATTGATTAGTTTTCTCAGGATTATAGGAATCATTTCTAAGAGTAATTTCTTCGGGGTTGGCATGCATGGATTTCACAGTACGGACCATTGTAGTAGAACTATATGATTTTCAAAACCTTATTGAACCTTAATTCTTTCTTGCCATTGGTTATTTATTATCATAATTATTATTTGTCCCTTATGTTCCTTGTGGAACATAAGGCTTCAGTAGCACATCGCTATTTCACTCTGTTCTCTGCACTCTTTTGAACCTGGCTCCACAACTGCCCAGAAGCTTTCATTTCTTCCTCACATTATCTCCCACATGTCACCTTCGGACGCCCAACTCGTCTTTTCCAACTTGGGTCCCACTCAATGGCCTGGCACGTGATGTTCCCAAATGCTCTTCTCAGTGTATGTCCAGTCCAATCCATCTCCACTTTCTTCCGCATATTTGTTGAGCGATGGGTTCTTGGTTGGTTCGTTGCCAGGCCAGAGTTCCTTGTTGCTTATTCATTCTGGCCATCTGATCTTCACTATCGAGTGAGCGTAGGCGTAGGCGGCAGCTGTTGATGGTGTATGTCTGCAGTTGGAAATTCTTTTCGATGCCAAATTTATGGACGATCACACAGAAGCACTGACTTGCTTGATTGACTTATTGTTGAGAATCCGGATGTTGTTCACGCTTGATGCTGAGTGTAGTGTAGTGCGGTAGATCTCCACACTGATTTCAGACTAATGAAGACCTATCTTGCTTTTCCTATCCTGGCTTTGATGTACTCATCTGTGCCTGTGTCGCCTGTAGTTGAAACGATGCTGTCTAGGCAGGCATGTGAAAGAGGCAACTTACTTTAGATTTCTCTCGTTGATGGTGATTGGTGCTTGTTGTTGTTGGTTGGGTATCTTCATCACTTCTATCTCCTCTATGTTCACCTAAAGTCCCGTTTTCGCTTCCCTGCCTCTTCTGCCAACTTGTCTTGGGTGTTGTCTATTACCGATTGCAGTTGTCTATAGAATTCCTCCTTCTTCTCTTGGTCTGCATTATTTGTAGGTGAGTAACATTGTATGATTGCGACTTTCTTTCCTTCTGAGTTGAATCCTGCTGTCATGATCCTGCGGGAGTAGATTGTTTCCCAGTGCATGAGAGCCTTTGATTCTCTTGGGGACATCATGATAGCCACTCCAAAACTCAGTGTGCTCGTGACTGTCGTCTGGGTGACAATATCGGAGTAGATTATTGACTGTGTAGTTGATAGTTTGGAGAGTCCACTCCCATTCCATCTGCTCTCACAGATACGTAGCACTTCTATGTCATATCTCATTTCTTTTGCAAACTGGCCAGCCTTGCTAGGTTCATACATGGTGCGGACATTCCATATCCCCATGTTTACTTTTGTTTTCATCGAGTGAGAGAATACATATCGACCGATTGGCTTCCCGAAGTCTTTCACCAACTGGCGTCATTTCGTCTCTCCGATTCCAGCAAAGAATAAGTTTGAAGTTTCTTTAGTGATTGGATTGGTTTTCCGTGGTAGGGTTGCTAGCCGTATGCCCAACCTTCTCTCTTTATCCGGGCTTAGGACCGGCTAGTAACTGGTGTATTAGTAAAGTAGGCGAGGTTTTCTCGCTCTTGATATTGGATCGTACCTTTTTTGGGTGCTAGCAATAATTCTTCAATTTCCATTTCTTATCCCATCTTCAAATTTGCCTCTTACACTATTAACACATAAAGTTAGACTATCAATTTTTAATTTTCTGCTGAAGTTTAGGTTGGTTATTACGTAATTAAATGAAAGGTTTTCTGACCTAAATACGAGTCACTCTTGTGAGTGATCTGCTGATCCACTGTCGTAGTTTTGTTGACAAATCCCATAAATGTCCAACTACCTGTTGAAGGATAAGTATACTGCATTTTAGTTCATTCTGTCCCATCATACGTCGTTGAAAGTAAAAGATATGAAGAGACTACAGTGTTTGATCTTCGTAGTATTGCTCGCGTGGGGTGAAGTCATTATGTGAACAATGTCGAGGCCAGGCGAAGGGTACTAGGCAAGTCTATGAGGTTATGAATCTTCAGCGACTGAGGTGGGTTGAAGATGCACTATGCGTGCCGAACCACCACCCACATCATCGTGCAGTGTCAGAAGAAGTAGGATTGGCTTGGAAGAGCACTTAGAGTTGCCGAATAGCGACATGTCACCAGTCCATGAGGCCTCCGGCTCTTTCCCTTAGACATATGGAGAGGTGTAGACTGTCTGGCTGGGGTCCTCAATATGATAAGAATCAATGGCCGGAGACCCTTGATGAAATGGCTGGAAATCGCACATGTATCCACCCCTTAAAGTTTTGTAAAGCGTAAATATTTTCACTAGCTTTTTTTTCCAGATTGTTTCGCCTTCGATAACCTTTGTCTACTTTGATATCAGTCTCCTTCTATCCACTTGTTCTTTGCATGCTACTGTGAAGCGTGACAACTTGAACCGATACACTTGTGTGCGAGGGTCCTCTGGACAAGAGGAACCAGTGGCTGGAGACTGTAGGGGATATGGCTCAGAACCGATGTCAGTGGCGCAGATACTGACACTATACCGATTCTCACCATTTTCTCATTCTTCCTTTCTTTCTTCTCGTACTTTATATTTCTTTTGGCTGAGTTTTCTTATCTCCATCTTTCACCTCACTACCTTTCTACTTGATGTACTGCTATGAGCTGTGGCAACTCGGACCGTTACGCAGTAATGCCTGGTCCTATGTTAATATTGATGATGATGATTGAGGTTCTACGTTGATTATGTCTATGTGTTCATGGACGCATACAAAATCGAAGTAGGTCTGTTCGTTTATTTTCGCCTGGTCAAGATGACGAATCTTTGAAGTCCTCTCCTCAATTTTTTCAGATTTCTCTACTGGTTTTTGCAGTTTGGAAGATGTAGATAGAGGGTTAAATTCTGGTGAAAAAGACGCTCATCTCAATCCCATTTGATAGTCACCTAAGCGCTGTCCGACTTGATGGTACATTAAGGAACAAAAAAAGAGTAACAATTTGTTCCGTTATCCTTATTTGCATATCCACAAACTACACTTGAAATGAAGTGCAGGATAATTTCTACTAAAAACTGTTTAGCCTCCTACTTACATCCGAGCGTTAAGATGCAGTCGTCATGTTAGTTGACTTCAAACAAATGTAAGCAGGTAGAAGAGCATTTAGGCCGAACTTTTGGATTTTTGGATGAACAAACGAATGACATTGATCGTCTGCTACAACTATGATGAGAAAAATACCTGTTTTTGACCAGCAGGAATTCCGGATATAGAGTGAGACATTGTTTGATATGGTGTCCACTGAACTCGACTAAATGGTGTCTGCAGACGATATCACTGTAGGTTGTCACTGGGTGGAATTGATGGAGAATTTCGTTCCTTCTGGAAAGTTGGCATTCGACTAAGTTGATCGAGAAGTCTTATAGTGGTGTCTTTCACTGGGAGAGGTGCGAGATAGACACATCTATTTGTTGAATTTTCACACTCAAACACTTGTGAGCTTGTTGAAGTCGCTTCTATAGTAGGGTTGAAGACCAGGCTTTAAAGTCTTGGTTTAATCAGTTGATGAACAGTATCTACTGAGGTGGGCATGTCTACTCACCATCTAAGCCAACCAGTGGCTGTAGATAGAAAAACGCAACCAGACTAAAATATGTAGTTTATCCATGAAGTCTCTCACTGTTGTTCTGAGCTATGTGGGACAATGCAGACTTGATTAGGGCACATAGGATAATGGAGATGGGTGGTTGGAGACGGTAGGCAATATAGCTTGAAACTTATCTTAGTGGCGGCGCAGATGCATCCTAATCGTCATATCTGACCTTACGTGACTTTTACTCACATTTTCTTATTTCTTGGTCTCCTATGTTGTCGATATTGGGTTGTGACAGAAGGTGAAATAAAATTTTTGAACCGCGGTGGCTTTTGAATCTGTGACCACCGGGTTTCCGGCCCGGTGCTCTATGTTTTTGCCTTGTATCTTAATCTACTGACATAAGGTGGGGGAACTTACATTGACAGAGTATTATAATGTTCCATTGGAACCCAGCACAATAGTGCTAAACAGAGAGAAAAATCAATTGTGCAGTGATTAATTTCTGAAATTTTGTTTGACTTTAATATGTACATTAACTTTTTAGCTTATAAAAGAATACCCAAACTTGAACCTCTTCAACATTCACGAAAATCTTATCGAGTGTTACCTTGCAGCTCAACAGTATGCTGATGCTCAAGCTTTCTTGGCTAAATACGACGGCAAGTTACCTAAAATTTATGTCAACTTAACTTTCTTACGTTTCGGAATAAAGTCAAATAGCTGGTATTTTTTGTTTACCAATCATGTACTGGGTATCGGTCATTTAATGTGTATTTGTTTGCAGAATAGGCTGTTTTACCATCAACTGTTGTTACAATTTGCTCGAGTTGCGAGCGTTCTTGTTTTGTCTTTACATTATGAGTCTAAGTTTTCTAGAAAGAATCTTTTCTGTCTAATTTGTTGTTATCCTTACTCATTTTCCCCAAAAGGTGATTAGTACTGTGTGGTACATAAGTGTATATAGACCTAAACTCCACTGAACTGAATAATCATTGAATAAATTGCTAACCTCATTCCTCTTCGTTGGTTCACTTGAAGGATTCTGTTTTAATGAACGTATAATCATTTCTTTTATGCCTAGATGTTTTATCATGGTTCTTACATTGAGAATATATACTGTGCGTTGGTTGTCATCATTTGTACTTAGGATAGAATCACCGTGGTTCATCAACCTCTGATCAATACATTCAGTTGGATAGGGTTTAAACTATTATATCCATCAGGTTAGCTCTTAGTTGATTGAGTAGGGGAGCTTGCATTTAAATCAGTGTATTGTTTCTTTAAAAGCGTACTGAGATAATTGTATCTAGGTCATATTCATCTAACCAATATTCTTCAATATCGTATTACTACCATTTTGAGTATTTTTGTCCAGCTAGTTAACTCGAGTTGATCACTTCGATGCTTTCACTTAAACTTATGACATATGAATAGGAAGTTTGAATGAGATTTTCTGTTCACCAACAAAGCCTTATTGTCAAACTAGTGGTTTTAGATTTGTGTTTTACCTGTGAAGGGTATTGTAAAGCAATGCTTCTCTTTGACAAAATAAATTAGCAACCTATCACTACTCACACTGATCAGCTAATAAATTTAGGAAATTTAATTTCATCTGACCAACTGATAGATAACATTTTAAGTATGAAATTATTAACAAATGTCGAGTATGGGGGCGCGAAGCTACACACGCAGTAGAGATTTTTGTCCGTTCACTACAGCACATAATATTTCTTGTATTTAAAAGACCGAATGTGAGTTTCTCATTGAAATATTTTTTTAAATTGCGGACTCAAATATGGATTAACATACGCACCGAAAAACTGGTCACACATCATTGATGAAAGTATAAAAGTGATATAAAGGAAATCTGAAAAGAAGAGCAAACAGATTGCCAACGAGTAACTCTCACAAAGTACACTGTCGACATTGAAATCCGCCCAACAATCACGTGCATATTTGTGCAGTAGCCAATGAGTCACCTGTTGTTTGAGGGCTAGTGATACATGGCTGCTTAAGTCTTGAAGCGCACTTCGAACCTGCCACCCAAGATACACTCTAGGAAGTGCCCATTACTTTCGTTTAACTTTTCAGTGACAGAAGAAACAAGAAAGTCACAAAATAACCACCACTAATTTTGATTCCAGTCCATATCTGATGACGTCTCGAGATACTGATTTTGATGATCTCATGGAGTCTCATCTAGGGAGTTTTAATACGCCAACAAATGCTAACCTAACATAACTGTTTTTCATCCCACATCATGTTAGTTCACTGGCCACCTGTTCACTTATTTCATCCAGCTTTAATGGTAGTGAATATTGAAGGTCGTGTCTCATGAAAGGAGAGAATTTAGTGATAATTAGTCGCTTCATGTGTCACCATTCTGCACTGCCATCGATGCAGCCTTCACCTGTCCATGAAACCTTTGGTCTTTTTTCGAAGATCTTGATTCATATTTCGACAGATATACCGGCCACTGTTTAATTTCGATCTGCAGTAGATACCAGAATAAAAAATTAGATATATTTCAGAAAAGACGAACGGTCTCATTCACAGTGGTAAAATGGGATGCGATCTACCTTCAGATGCACAAAGTGTTGAGGATGTTGGATCCCCAGAAATGAACCCATTATGTTGAAAATTTACCTGACAGAAACTTAAATTTGTCTTTTCTGCGTTCTATCTATGCCTCGTGCGTGTTGCTCATTTTTTCCGCTCTTAAGGACGCTACTTTCTCATTTGCTGTTCTCTAACTTTTAATACGTTGATTTATCCGTTTACCTCAAGGTCATTTCCCTCGTATATAAATCCACGATGTATGCCCCTATTTTCACACCCTTCTGATTGAAGCAAAACTTCTATCCTCTATTGTTTTCTTCCTTGAGTTAGCCGAGCGAGTTGTTGGGTATCGTATTTCGTTCACTCAGTATCCAGATTAGGCGTCTATAATCTACCGTATCTGCAAATCTCAACGTAAAGATTCGTTGAGCCTAACATCTTGAAAGAGTAGGGAAGTATTTCGACTACTGTTGTCTGCAACTTTGCCATCTCTACTAGGTCGATGTAGTTGCATCCTAAGGCATCTGCGTCGATACGGGATAAAATGTTTGCTAATTTCTTTTGTATTGGATTCAACATATTGTATGCAGGGTAGTAAAATGTGAAATAAATTCTAGATATCGTATTTCCCGTAGTGAATAATTGTTCTTTTTCGCATTATTTGCCTGTTTAAGTTAATTGTTATGCGTGAATGCTGTGAGATCATCGATTTCAAGTATTTACCCAAAATGTTTAGTCGTTAAGTAAATAAAGAATAATTCTCTGCTTAGAAGGGTGTTTGCAACCGTGAACACTAAATCGTTTCGGAAAGAAAGATAACAGTCCCAACAGACTGTAAAAACGCTGTCACAAGACTATCTACAACAATATTTCAAGTGTCTGTCATGATTTATAATGGTTTTTATGAATCGTCACGAGCAATGAAAGTTTCAGAACTGTGTCATATAAATTGTGTAAAATACTCTAGCTTTTCCTTGCAATGGATCTGATAGCGGCTGAACTTATTGTTGTAAAATATTGGTAAAAATATATTAACTTGAGTAATCTGCATAGTTTTCAACAGGATTCTGGAAGAAAATATTATTTGATTGTATCTGGTTCTTACAGGGCTGGCTGAATACTGCCTGCATTTACTACGTCTCAGAAACTTAAGTGATGACTTTCCGAATTCATATTTCTATGGGCTGATTATTATACCATATTTGCGTAATCGATCAAAAAGTGTTTATAGTTCCTGCAGGTGTTCTGTTTCGGTTGTGTTGATTTCTATTAATTCGCCTTTATGTGTACCAGTGTAAAGTGAATTGCGAGGTACCTAGTCTATAAATCTATGGAAGGTTTGCGCAGCCTGTCAGTCCAGATGGATTACAAATGAACGGAAATAATTTAATAGAAGTAGTCCTTGCACTTCTGTTAGCATCATTGGGTTTGACGGGAATATAATAATACACAGCATAAGACAGGTTTTTAAAAACTACCTAATTTCGTCAATAAAATCCTGTGGACAAAATTTACGTGCCTGCAACAGAGCTGATAATGTAATGTCTTTAGTCTATATTCAGGAAATTTATAGCTACCAGTTATTAGTAGAGGATTTACTGTGATAAAAGCAGTGGTAGTATCTACAAGTTGTGGATAAGGGGCTGTGGAGTTGTGCTTCATAGGTGTAAGAAGTTGACTTTCAACCAGCGGGTAACGGGTACAAAAACCACTCCAGCTACCGAGGTTTAAGCAGCCATACATTCATTAGGTGTGGCTCACTGCCTACCACAAAAATGTGCACAACATAGCTAAATGTATTTCATTTCGTTTTTATGGTCGAGATACGTACTTAACTGCGTACGTTAAATGCGTACGTAACTTCAGTCTATATACTGTCGCTGTTCTTAATACCCCAATCAATTATATCCGAAAGGTTATCCAGTGAATAATACTGTCTCTGTTTAATACATATAATAAACAGGCTAAAATGGTATATTGTCTATCTGTTAATTAGCTAAAATGAGCATTTATTTTGCCCGGCTGCAGCGTATTGCCGTCTTTCATATATGCTGTATGTCATATAAAGACATCATATAGGAAGTATATTTGTTGTCAGTAGGAAAAAGTGTAGGAAAAAACAGGTTATAAACACTGTCACATATATTAAGTGCGTGAAATATGCCAAAGATTGAATTTCCTTTGTCACCTGCTTAATTCAAGTTTTTAAATGTGATAACAGATGGGATTTCTGATGACCAATCACTTACATTCACACCGACATTGAGAATTAAGGACCACAATTTCCAGTTCAATACATCTGCCATCGCTTTGGTGATTGGAACCCTAACACTAAAACTTCATAATAAGTGTTATTCTAATCTTTGAACCATTTAGGTGAAATATCCGGTTATTTTTATCTACATTTCCGATGGTTTAAACATTCAATGGATTACTCACATTTCAAAGACATAAAACCAAAGGAGTAAATAGTTTATTGAATAATCCATTGCATGACTAAATACATTTTTAATGGTGGCCCTTCATGAAATGAATGCTGAAGATGTCACCAAGCCTGATGATGAAGCGTCTGTAACAAAATATGAAAGGTCAGAGAACACTAAACCATCTAATTGTCAATGTATTCGGATTTTGTCGCGCAAGTATTTCACTTCTTAGTTATCAACAATGTTGGCATTTTTGTTATTAATTTCCTATAACTTTTTCTTTCTTTGTTTTCAGATATCAACTATCCAAAATCAGCCACTATATGCTATACTGCAGCTCTACTTAAAGCTAGACAAGTATCTGAAAAGTATGTAGTTTTTCTACAATATGGTTCAAACTTTTATATTATTTACTCCTTAAGGTTAGATGACGTATACATGTTAGATGAATTCCAGTGACATATATGTACTTTCTAGTAGTTACTAGACATTAGACTAGATATGTTCAGCGCTGAAATGGTGATGTGGCTACAGTAAATTTTAGGTCAATTGCTGAGAAAACTCAACGCCTGCCTGCTTTCAGATTGAGATTTTACTTGATAAATGTGGTGCTAAACATTATCATCAGTGCGACAGAGCTTCACAGGAAATTGAAGTAGTTATGCATAGATATTTATAACGTACCGATTTGCTTCTAATCTGTTTGCTCGTTTGGTAAGTATTTGGACGTATGTTCAACCTGACTGGTTGACGTCTTTCTTAAAGACGGGGTGCAGTTTCATCATTGGTCGACTTCTGCTGATTGTAGGCAGTACTTTGTAGTCGCTCCGATGGGATCTTTAACTTTGCTTGAGTGAACGGATGAAGGTTATCTTGATTTTATTAGTTGGCATTTTTGTTTTACTGAAGTGATGGAGGTTGTCTTGGTCTGATTGATTGACTCTTCTATACTGGAAGGGAGATGCTTTACTCTGATTAGTTGATTTGCTCCAACAGGAGGAGCGGTCCCTGCCATTTCTGGCTGATTATCTCTAACTGTAGAGGTGTCCTTTTGTATTCACTGGTTGAATACAGGAGTTTGGCCAGTTTTACTACAGTTATTTGTGTCGAATGTTACCTTGCATTAGGATTGATTTGTTTCAAATAGGCTTTCATTTTTCGTTCAGGTTGAAGTGACGATTTATTGTTTGTTTTTTTTGCTTGAGTGTTGGGCCTCCAAAAATGCTAAAGCTGCATTCGAGTTTACACGTTCAATTATTTCGAATTTGTGCAAGTCAGATGTGTGATTGTCATGGTGTGTTGAGATGAGCGACTTAATATCCCGACGTTTGACACCTATCTTGTGGTTCCTGCAGTAGTTGTAGTACTAGTTTTTCTTATTGTCCCAACTGGTGGTGTCCTCCACAATCGCATTCGACTTTGTAGGTCATTTTTCCTTTCTAAAATGATCCTTCGATTTGCTTGGAATTGTGGCTCCTCGGTAAAGAGACTCGATTTCCAACTGATGGGTCACGGGTTCGAGCTTCACCCAACCTACTGAGTTAATTTCGTGCAAAATTATTTTCCAAAATGTCAGTCTACACTTTTTGTAACCAGGATATCTAAGAGTGCTAGTTGTCATACATCTTCTCCTTCCATGAGTTTGATTCCTTTGAAAACACTTAATTATTTTTCGAATAAATTCAATATTGTTTTTAAAGATGATGGATGTATCATCTATTGTGATTATCGGGACAGGATTGTAGAAAATTGCTGTAGTCGGTATAGGATGCCAGAATTTCCTCCAGACTGCTTTTCGCAATGACTCGGGTGTTCTACTTAAGCGTTTAAATCACCTGATACTATTACTGTATTTGATTTTCTTGGTTTCTGTTACTCAGTTGACAAGGTTTGGTAAAACTGTTTCTTCTTATTACATGGACTGCAGTCAGTAGGAGCGTAGATGCAATCTACAAGTGCTCAACGACGATTGTCGTTGTCTTTATAGTTTTCACAGATTAATTCAATGGGACAAGTATGTAACATTTCTCATGTTATTGATTATATTACGTATAAATAACTGTTTTTGATCACAGTTTCCCGCTTTCCTCCGATTAGTTGCTTGATATTATCTGATTGGTTGAAGCAATGATTTGATATTCAGCCATATTAAACTTGTCCTTTTCACCGGTTGCTAACTGTGACTTACACGTATTTTGCTATTCAAAATATATTTTGTTTATTATTTCACGACTCTTGAGTGCTTTTATTCGAGTGAGTCTAACAAGGGAAGGGATAGCTATTGGTTGACTTGCAGTTTAGGAGTGTACTATGTACTTCATAATTCGATGAAATACTTACATCAGTTACTTTACAGGAGCTAGGCTTTGATTGTTTGGACACTTGTAGGATGAGATTTCCAGGTTCATGATTCTGGCTAAGCCAGATAAAGTCAATAGTCACGTGGTTGTCTCAGAAACAAAGCATCTATTCAAAGGTTGATGATCCTAAGATGTTGTAGGTGACGCTTATTGTTTGGGTTGCCCCAGTGTTCTTACGTTTGAGTCCCAAACTCGATACTGGCAGCTTCCTTATGGAAGACTATGGTTGGTCTTCTTCTGCCTTTCGAATGATGGCAGAGTAAGATGTTGAAAAAAACCATAACAGGCTTTTTATGAGTGTCAGAAAGTAATGGCAAGGGAGGCGACAGAAGTGGGGGCGGGTAGGTTAGTTGGTTTTGTATGCTGCTGATTGGTACTTCCCGGCAGCCCACACCGTGGAACTCGTTTCTGCTAGGTATCTCGAATAGAAAAGGTGTTAGTTTTTCGTGAGCACAGAGCCCATAGGACAAATGCCCGATACCTGTCACATACGACTTTTTTTAGGGTGTTGCATCGAGATTGGGTTGTTCTACCTGTGGGATAAAAACATCGGTGTCATCAGTGCCGAAATACCGCAGGGCGGGGAGGAGTGTGCTGTTTTTCTGACCAACCTTACTACCATCACACACGGTCCGGCCAGTAGTGCGACTTCGCTATCGAGCCCCCACTATAGCGTAAGCTATTTGGAGTATGACGATTAACTGCTTCTTGTCTTACTGCTTTTCGAAAAACCTTTATGGCATGATACGACCTCAGGGAACATTTGTTCTAGTCGGTATAGCCTATTAAGTCGTTGAGATATACAAACCAGGAATGATAACCAGTCACGTGTAAGGAAATAAATTGTTTCACTTGGCATTTGCCGAAATCAAATCAACGATGGACACAGATAGATCATATTGTGATAAGCCATCAGTAGAGGACTGCTACTCTTTGCAGAGTACCTGTTTGGACTGCCATTACGTGTTAGTACGAATATGTGTATACTTACATCTAACTGGTCGTAGAAAACAGACGGCAGTGAAACTTGTATGTATGTGATCCATTAGAAGATGAGAATGGGAAGTAAGTAGTTAAAGAGGAGATAGGTGAGTATTTATCTGAACATGACAGCAATACTCATCCTTAGGAAACCTGGCGCGGTGTTTAGTCTGTTGTAGAAACAGCCTTAAAGTTAGTTGGTAACCTACACGCGAAAGTTAACAAACGTCAGCAGACTTCCGCAATTTCCTGGGAACTGATTGATTTGGAAAGACTCATTTCAAACTGGCTATGACCTCGATGAAGAGCGAAAGCAGCTCAAATGTAAATTGACCTGGAACTTTTGCAATGATTGTGAGCAGTGGGGGTTGCAGAAGTGGAAGAGATAGAGAAAGCATCAGCATTACTTAGACTTATTAGGAATGCTAGCAAATGAGAGGATAGCGAGTTAGATCAAAGTTATTTAACGCCTAAGTGGAGCTTGAGAACATCAAATTCGAGGGAATCAGGCATGTTTCAGATCTGGACAAGGGTGCATCGATCAGATTTCCATCCTCGTACGGGCGGCCTACACTTGCCACATTTCTTGACCTCAAGACGGCATTCAGCTCTGTGGACCGAGAGTTATTGTAGAAGTGTCTAACTGTCAATCAAAGCTTTCTACTCAAACTCACGCAGCTGTGGGAGGGCTTATGGAGAGTTGTCATCTGAATCGATAACGACTACTGGTGTCCGACAGATCTTTTCGCTATTATCGTTTCTGTTCAACTTCGTTATAGATATATTAGTGGATATAACCTTAGGTTCGTCTGACTTCACAGAGATTGATTTTCCCCTTGAGGTTATCTGGTTGACTTAGGGTACTCAGACGACATTGTCCTGCCAGCTAAAAACGCTGCCAAAATGCTCCTTGAACAGAAATCTGCGTGTTTATCCTTTTTTGCACTTGTGCACTTGTGTTTTTGAAGTGATCTGAAATGAAGTGGGGAGTGAAGAGTTGCATCTCTCGTAGGGGCTGGTTTCTGACAAAGTCTCAGCTGAGACACGAAAGACTCATCTGGAATTCGATAAGACGAGTATACTGCGCTTCATTTCTCTCTGTCCTGTTCTTATACAATTATAAGGCTTGGATGTTGAAAGTAAAAGTGTTGTGATCTACGCTATAGATAACGATACAATACTCTTAGACGATACGATTAACGATAGAACAATGATTCCTTAGCTCGATATTCAGCTGACACCAGAAGAATACGATGGGATTGAAAGTTTATTTACTCCAACCAAATAACAATAGGTGGAAGCTCAGTCGTTTATATATCCTTAGATAGCCTTAGCCAGAGACCACTCAGCGTTCAGTGTCCTGAACTGAGGTAAAAATAAGCAACATAGCATGGCCCAAAGAGGGCTCGAAAATAGGGCTTAAACTTTACAGTAATAATATAAACATATTATAAGTTATTTTTCTTAGGGATTAGCTACCTCCAACAAAAAGATATGAAGATACTACAGGTTTTTGACCATAGGTGTCTTTGCAGCATTGACCACGTATGCTGGAATCACCGTGTAAGCAAATATAGAGGTTAGGAGAAGGGTACTACTAGATAAGTCAGTCGATAAGTTTGCGAGAGTTCATCGACTAAGGTGGCTTAAACATGTGTTGCACATGCCTACCGTGACATGCAATACTGTTCGAAGTTACATTAAGCTGGAAAAAGGCCAAGGATAACCAGACCAAGAAGCGGTAGTACCACTCTATGATGTCTGTGAGTCTTAGCCGTGTAGGAAGATGTAAAGAGCCTGGTCGAGGTTCACACATTACAGGAATCGGCGGTTGGTGACTGTTGACGAAATGTATTGAAATCGGTAACAGTGGCGCAGATGTGTTTGCTCTTTGATGCCTTCTAAAGCTGAAATATTTTCAATAACCTTCATTTTCAAAATTTTTTCCACCTCCGTACACTTTTGTCTACTTTGATATCGCTTTTTTTCTACCCTCTTGTTCTTTGCATGCTAGTGTAAAGTGTGACATCAGGAACTGATGCACTTGTGTGCGATTATGTCTGTTTGTCAATCAAAATGAAATGTACCCCCTGTATTTCATTGGTAATCACTGCTTATGTGTGATCCGAATATAACCGTTTCGTAATGTCAGTGTGCCGAATTTCTTTCAATATTTGGTGAATGTTAACTCACTAGGTAGGGAGTAAGCTGTCTGTAGGAGGGGAAAGTATGTTCAGCTGCATTTATAAAATGATGCTAAGTTTAGAACTGTAATGTAACAACCGACTTATATTCTAGAATTTTACATCTTAATTGCTGGTAGGCCTAGCACAGAAAGTCAACCGTTACTTGTTTCATTGGTGATGCTATACATTGATTATAAAAGCCTTTTCTATGAACTTCTTAGAGATCGTTGTATATTGACGCTTTAAATTTGATATCTTATTCAAATTGTTTTTAGATTTTCTCCTGATTTAGCATCGCGTAGAGGTTTAAATGCTGCTGAACTTAGTGCTGTTGAAGCGATTCACAGAGCTGTTGAATTTAATCCTCATGTACCAAAAGTGAGTTTAGAAGCTGATCTATGTGAATTCATTATATTTTCTAATTAATACACATATTCAGTGCTACATGCAATTTTATTCGGAAAATAATGTCAACCAGAGAACCACTTACTTCCAGGAAACCTTCGTTAGCTATCCCATCGTAGTCTGCCAGGAAAATATTCACTACTTGTGCGGGATCAGTTGCTAATAAGCTGACACTTTACCATTCAGTTAAAGGTTTTAAACCCAACGGTCCATATTATGTTACTTATGGAGTAGTTGGTTGTGTAATGCACGCTCGTCATTCATTATCACCAGCTTTTACCTCTAGTTGATTGACTCTGTTTGTTGTGCTCTACTATTAGAAATATGCATCTGTCTTGAAATCAGTTATAAGTGCATGTATAGGCTTATTTTCGGTGCTGTTAAGCTACCTTTTGCGCAGAGAAATTGTATCTGCAAGGTCGTTGCAAGTGCAGTTCGACTATGCAAATGCTACGGCTGCTCTAAACGAGGAAATGACTAACCAGTTATTGAGCATAATCATCCTGAATAAGTATAGCGTCATCTTCAGTCTTCATTGAAAACAGTGGTAAGTACCGTATTTAACCTTCGGAAAAACGTTGGAAACGACCATTGGATCTCAAAAACTATACTTATGATTATATTGAAAACTATTTGTGTATGATTAGTTGATAAGTTAATTTCTAGAACAACACGGTTAGTGAAGTATGAACAGGGTCTGCGATACAATGATGCAGGAAAACGACTGGAACAATGGATGAACCACTGAGAAACAGCTCGGTTAACCTTCTGCTCAAAGTCGTAATGCACTCACTAACCTTGTGCACATTCGTGCAGTAGATAATAAGCCATATCTATCGTGTGATAATACTAACTCACTGGCCAAACCTCAGCTGATTGAGCGGTGTTCGAACTTGTGATCCATTGTTTGAAAGTCATCTCCCTAAACCAGTGGGCCATACCCCCAATGGCTTAATTCTACTACTAATACTATTCGGTTGTCAGCTATCTAGTCGAATTCTGAGTGGAACATTGGGACCCCTAACTCTTGTCGAAGCTAAAAAGTCTGTAATTAGCCTTAAATGAGAAAAAAAGGCCCCGATGGGCCAGCATCACAGGATTATTGGATTCAGTAACTAAAGTACTATCTTATGTATGGTAATCCAATATGATCGCTTGTGAATCGGTCTCAATCGCTGATTGTTCCGGTATTTCGGAAGAGGAAAATCCTACTGTGGTGACCATTGGGTGGAAAGCGAACATGATGTTTACGACCCACACTTCTAAAATCCTTAGGTGTCCAGGTGAAGCTCAAGAACATCAAATTCAGACAGGTTTCAGATGTAATCTTGAGTGGATCTATATGGTCTTCGCTCTTCACCAGGTTCTGGGAAACAAGCACACACCGATGCCTTATACTAGCTGCATTTCTCAACCTGAAGGCATCATTAAACTCTGTCTGTTTATTGACCGTATGACGGCGCATCTCACTGAAAGGAGCACCCTGTTGAAGGCTTTGTATTCGAACACCCAAGGGCATATCAGAGCCTATGTGAGGTGTCAGGTGGGTTTTGTCTATGAATGGTTTCAACGCTCTCTGTTCTTTTTATATTTCGTCACGGAAGTTCCTATGGAGGTCTTCCCTTTTCGGTTGACTTTACAGAGATTGACCCTGCCTCAGGGGACGTGTTAGGTAATGACACTTACAAGATGCACAGTCTTCTGCACACCTTGAGAATTTTTGGGGAGCATTTCACGCTACCCAAATGCAAATTTTCTCAGTAGGACTGGTCTTTAGTGGTCCTTTGTTTAAAAATTGGGAGTGAAGTGGTTGAACGTGTTGACCACTTCACCTACCCGGAAAGTTGGATCAGTCCTAGTGAGTCAGTGGTCGACGAAATCTGGATACGGATAGAAAAGGCTCGATCGGTTTTCTCCAGCCTACAGCATCTGTCGCGCTGCCGTGATATCTGATTGTCCTTTAATGGTCGAGTGTACTGTGTTGCAGTTCGCACTGTTCCGCTGTATGAACGTGAGACATGACCATTAAAAGTAGAGAGAAAGGAAAAAAAGCTCCAGCTGTTCCACTATCGTTACCTTCGTAGCATAAGCCATGTATCATGGTGTTGCCACGTTAGTAATGCAGAAGTCAGGTGTAGAGTCTTAGAGAGGAGACGAAAGTCATATGATGAGGTTGTGAACCTGCATCGAATGAGGTAGCTCGGACATGTGCTATACATGCTTAGTCATAGTCTACCTCGTTGTAAAATGTTGAATGAAGTAGGTTCAGGCTAGACAAAGGTTAGAGGCGGTTAGACTAAAACATGACATCAGTTTTTGGATCATTTGACTATTAGTCTGAACCGTGTAAGGAAATGTAAACCTCCTGGTTGGGGTCCATCTGATGTCAGAAACCGGTGGTTAGAGACACTTTCATCTTGGTGTGCTGATGTGAAGTTTCAAAAATGAACCGTTACATAGTAATGCCAAGTGCCTCGATGCTGCTCACTGACTGATAAGACATTTTGATTGGTGGTAGGTTCTTGCATATTTGATAAAGCTTGTGAAATATAGCCTGTAAGGAAGTTTGGCTCTTCGTTTGGTTTTCATCACATATGGGATAGGTAGGTTATCTTTAACACCTGTATTTAAGACGAGCACAAAAATAACTTTATTCTTTTGTCCATAAGTATCAACTTGATAAACAGCATTTATTTCAAGTTTTTATTCATCGAAGACTGACATCAGTTGGAGGAACAAAGGAAACCTGGGAGCACTGGACAGCTGTTTCGTCCTAGTATGGGTGCGCACTGCTGAGGAGTCCCATACTAGGACGAAACAGCTGTCAGTGCTCCCAGGTTTCCTTTGTTCCTCCAACTGATGTCAGTCTTCGATGAATAAAAACTTGAAATATTTCCAAATCTCCACAACCCCCTCAAAAAAACAGCATTTATCTTATACTGCATCATTCCTTGGGCCATTTTATCGTCATATTCACTCAAAGAGTTTGTTTGCTTCCAAATTTATCAGCAATAATTCAGTTCAAAAATTCGTAAAAGGTTTGACTCTTTGAGGTTTTTATTACTGGTTAAGGTTAATAATACACGTATGGTGGAATTCGGAGTCATTCATGAAATAATAATTCTCTTGTCAAGGTGGTAATCTTGTGACCTCGGTTATTTGCCCGTTAACATGGTAAACTCACATTTTCAGTCGTAGTTTTTGTGGACTGTTAATGCTGGTCATCATTAATAATTGTGCGTGGAAATATCGTGATTTTGCCTACAAAAGAGCACCACTACTTAAAGTTGTTCTAGGATTATTTTAATCAAATTTTTACTAATGCTACAGCTGAAGAAAAGTTCAGTGAGCATTTGAAATTATTTATTGTAAAAACAAAACTGATACTGGTAAAATTGGTATGCCTAGTAATAATCTATCCATTTGCAACTTGTGCTGTATATTCCCATTCGGGATCGTGTGATTTTTCACCAATCTATTTGTTATGAATTCCTATATTGACATATATACTACTTATTTGCATTTTTACAAGTAGCTCTCAATATGTGCCTTTAAAACAAGCCTTACCACTTTTGTGTTTGACATCTGATGTTCCTGTACATCAATTCACCCAGGTATATTACTATTGGCACCTATACTTTAACTCAGATTAACCTAAAATATGCAGTCTCTAACCCCTAGTTTTATGTCATCGTGTGGAATAAAATTGCTATAATCTTCATAAACAGCCTTGAATCTCTGAACCTTTCTACAATCAATCATGTTGCACCGGCATTTCGAGTTAAATAACTTGGAGTGGGAAATTATTGCGAAAAATTCTTTGTCCAAGTACTTCCTTCTTTGAAATATATGCAAAAGAGCGTTTTTGACATGCATGTAACGTTCATATATCATGTTATCCTCTTTATTCCCATTCATTTCAGTACCTGCTTGAAATGAAGCCTCTAATACTGCCTACAGAACATATTTTGAAGCGTGGTGATTCTGAAGCCATAGCTTATGCCTTCTTTCATTTAGCCCACTGGAAGGCTGTCGAAGGTGCAATCAATTTATTATACTGCACATGGGAAGGGACATTTCGTCTGATACCGTATCCATTGGAGAAAGGAAATCTCTTCTATCCATATCCTCATTCAACTACAGCAACTGACAGAGAACTTTTACCAAGTATGGAGAATATTCTCTTCTTTTATTATCCGAATTTAAATCATATTACAATGTATGCTTTTTATTTATTATTTATCCTTTGGGTTCCTTACGGGACACAGGGCTTCAGTAGCACATCGCTATTTCACTCTGTTCTCTGCACTCTTTTGAACCTGGCTCCACAACTGCCCAGAAGCTTTCATTTCTTCCTCACATTATCTCCCACATGTCACCTTCGGACGCCCAACTCGTCTTTTCCAACTTGGGTCCCACTCAATGGCCTGGCACGTGATGTTCCCAAATGCTCTTCTCAGTGTATGTCCAATCCAATCCATCTCCACTTTCTTCTGCATATTTGTTGAGCGATGGGTTCTTGGTTGGTTCGTTGCCAGGCCAGAGTTCCTTGTTGCTTATTCATTCTGGCCATCTGATCTTCACTATCGAGTGAGCGTAGGCGTAGGCGGCAGCTGTTGATGTGTATGTCTGCAGTTGGAAATTCTTTTCGATGCCAAATTTCTGGACGATCACACAGAAGCACTGACTTGCTTGATTGACTTATTGTTGAGAATCCGGATGTTGTTCACGCTTGATGCTGAGTGTAGTGTAGTGCGGTAGATCTCCACACTGATTTCAGACTAATGAAGACCTGCCTTGCTTTTCCTATCCTGGCTTTGATGTACTCATCTGTGCCTGTGTCGCCTGTATTTGAAACGATGCTGTCTAGGCAGGCAGGTGAAAGAGACAACTTACTTTAGATTTCTCTCGTTGATGGTGATTGGTGCTTGTTGTTGTTGGTTGGTATCTTCATCACCTCACCTGAAGGAAGTCCCGTCTTCCTTCGCTGTCTCGCCTCTTCTATCAACTCGTTGGTTTTTCGCCTGTAGATCTTCGAGTTTGTGCGATATTGGATACAAATCATCGGTGAAATCCAAATATTCGGAGCTCTTTTCATCTGTCAAGCAGCGTATGTCCCTCTTCTCGCTCCTCACAGTTTGTTGCATGATCCAGCTGACCACATTCACGAAGATCATCGGTGGTAGTTGGCGGCAGCCTAGTCTTACTCCTTCCTGTCTTCACTTCGAAGGCATCAATGAGCTATCCATTGGCAGTCACTTGGCATGTAGTATATGACTGTTGAATGAGGTTGATAAAGGTTTATGGCACTAAAAGTGTAGTGTTTAAGCAGCTCCCTGCCAAATTATTTCTCTGTCAACGCTGTCGAAGACCTTTTCAAAATCGATGAAGTTGAGTTAGAGGGTTGACTGCCATTCTATGCTCTGTTCTATGATGATGTGTAGCATAGCGTTGCAATTTGGTCCGCACATGACTTGTTCTTCCTGAAGCCAGCAAACTATTCCAGTTGAATCCAGAACATTGTTTAGTATCTCCAGGATGATATGGCTTAATATTTTGGTTGAGGTGGACAGCAGGGTGATTCCACGCCAGTTCTTCCGAAGACTTGGGTCACCCTTCTTTGGGAGTTTGACAAGGTAGTCCTTCTTCCAATCTGGAGGTACTTCTCCTTCCTTCCTTCCTTGCAAACCTTCTGCAATAGTTGTGTGAGCATGTCCGCAGTTGTCTCTGTGTCCATTTTCAGTGCTTCTGTAGGAATTCCATCTGGTCCTGCTGCTTTCTCGGCTTTCAATAACTTAACGGCGTTCGGGACTTCTGCTTTTGTCGGAGGGTTTGTGTTGACTGATGATTCTATGGCTGGGTTGCTGGTGGTATTTCTGGACGGGTTGCAGGTGGTGGTCGATTCAAGAGTACTTTGAAGTGGCCAGCCCATCGCTTCTCCTCTTTGTTAACGGAACTTCCGGCGCTATCTTTCATTGGTTTCATCTTCATTGATCTCTTTTTAGATAGTAACCCGGTTATTTGATATGATGTTGTCAGGTCTCTGTCTGTTCTACCTACAGCCTGTTCTGGTTCACTTTCCAGTGTGTCGTAGAAGTGTCTTTTGTCTTTGCACGCACTCTTCATTTTTTGTCCATTGTAGGGTTTTATAGGTTGTGTTAAGTCCCCCTTTTTTTTGTTCATCCTTGCACAGGTTCATCTTCTGCCTCACCATCTTCCTCTCCTCTATCAGCTCCCATGTTTCTGTGGAGATCCACTCCTTGTTTCCTCTTCCTTCCTTAATACGGTTATGCAGGTTCCCTTCCACATCTCTATCAAAGAGTTTCAGTTTCTGTTTTGGGTATTAAACTTGAACTGTGGCCTAACACTAACTTCTTTGAAGGCTTTCAACTTGATTTTGAAGGCAGGTTGCTTGTACTAAATAGTGAGTGGTATGAACCTACATCTTCTCCTCTTCCTGATCTGATCTTGTGTCCAGTAGACTGCGTCTTCATTTTCTTGAGATTAAAATGAAGTCGATCTGATTTTTAGTGTGTCCTGGTGAAATCAAATCCTCGTCGCTCTGTGAATATCCTTGTGTTTGTACACACTGCCTACCATTACGAATCGTTGAATGCGCAGATGTCTGCAAACAGTTCTCCATTCTCGTTCATTTCATCGGGTGCCTCTCGACCCATGATGTGTTCTCTTCCTATGTTGTCCGCTTCCAGTTTAGCATTCATGTCACCCATTAGGATTTTGATGTTGACAACTGGGGTGGGGTCTTGCCCAGTACTGATTGCAGTTGTCTGCAGAATTTCTCCTTCTTCTCTTGGTCTACATTATTTGTAGGTGCGTAGCATCGCACTATATGATTGTGACTTTCCTTCCTTCTGAGTTGAATCTTGTTGTCATGATCCTGATCCTGGAGGAGATTAAATTCGCATTGCCTGAGAGCCTTTGATTCTCTTGGGGACATCATGATAGCCACTCCAAAACTCAGTGTGCTCGTGACTGTCGTCTGGGTGACAATATCGGAGTAGATTATTGACTGTGTAGTTGATAGTTTGGAGAGTCCACTCCCATTCCATCTGCTCTCATAGATACGTAGCACTTCTATGTCATATCTCATTTCTTTTGCAAACTGGCCAGCCTTGCTAGGTTCATACATGGTGCGGACATTCCATATCCCCATGTTTACTTTTGTTTTCATCGAGTGAGAGAATACATATCGACCGATTGGCTTCCCGAAGTCTTTCACCAACTGGCGTCATTTCGTCTCTCCGATTCCAGTGAAGAATAAGTTTATTTTTTATATTTCGTCTGTGCTTTGAAGTTTCTTTAGCGATTGGATTGGTTTTCCGTGGTAGGGTTGCTAGCCGTATGCCCAACCTTCTCTCTTTATCCGGGCTTAGGACCGGCTAGTAACTGGTGAATTAATAAACTAGGCGAGGTTGCAGTGTGTTTTTTGTTGTGTATATTTTTCGATTAGTCATGAGATAACATTGTTAGTCAAGCATCCTAAGATTTTACTGTGACAAATATGACTTCTTGAATTTTCGATGGACTAGTGTGTATCACAGACTTCTTGTTAGATCTAAAGGATGGATAAATAGCAGCTTCTAAATTATCCCTTAAGAAGTTGCTTATCCTAACAAATCTTGCTTTGAACATGACTCACCAAAACACTATCATATGTTGCTCGCCTTTAAATTTACAGCTGGAACAAGTATACCATTATTATTCACTATCCTGGCAACCATAGCTGTGTATATTACTGACTGAGCATTTCATTTCTGAACTGTGGATGTCCAAACCATGCTGAAAATCTTTTATGGACTTCACGGGAAAACAATTTATATGTAGTTTCTTACCGGAAGACAGCGTTTAATTCTGTTGATTCAATACCTTAAATTGTATACTAACTCCCCTGGCTACCGTCTTACACTTGTTGGGCATGAAATGTGTTACCATTACGTAACGCTTAGCCAACCCTACTTGACTCGATGTGCTCTAAAGCCTGCTTAATCAGTACCTTACCTAACGTGTAAGTACTGATAACGAAATACAAATCCAAAGGACTTGTGTTCAGGAATATATTCGAAGAAGCAATATATTTAAGTAGAATATGTGATAGTGATTATTAGGAGAAAAGTTTATCTAACTTATCTGGTTAATATGGCTGAACTAAGGACTCTTAGGACGTGCGTGTCAAGCAGCACAAAGGGAGCGCAATGGCGTCGAAGCCTGCTCAGATGGATACTCGTTAATGCAAAATTTAAACCACCTTGAGCACCCGAAAGCAAGCTGGGAGCTTATTGGGTTAATTCAATTTAGTCTATTTATTTTGCCTCTAGTTGCATTTTAGTGCTAGGAGGAAGGTACACCACATACTAATGGACTGGGTTCCAAATCTTGATATGCTTTTTTGTTTGAGTAGTCAGTAAAATCTCCAACAGTCGTTTACATTTGCTGGGTGTAACAGAATTAAAGGTATGAATGGCTGGTCTTTTGGAAAGTAGTTAGTTACGAGTACATCTTCTAAACTATCCAAATACCGATATCGAAATTTCCAGATTAGCAGTCTGTTAAAAAAGTTGTCAAACTTTAAATGAAAAAGATTGCGCCCGGGAGTTAAACTGAATGTGCTCATCAAATATGAAAACCCAGAGCAAATTTGTAACCAAATGCTGCTATTATTACTATGGCTTTATTCTAAAAGATATTTCGGGAATACTGTAAAGAATTTTCAGCGTGTCAGTTAGCACTAAGTGTACAGAAACTGTTTACATGTATACATCATACAATGAATTAGATAGAAAAACTATATGTATATCAAGAATATTCACTTCATCAACAACTTTATTGAAAATCCTGAGCTTAATAATCCACACTAGCAATTAGATTCATAATCATCACCAAGCTATGTAATCTTCAATTTGTTTGCTTTCAAAAACACCACCTAAATAAGGCATGGTGTAGAAATTTTATATTTCTCAGCGTGTGGATAAAGTTTTATATACTTGCTTCTGGTCTTGCATGATGACCAAAACACATAGAACTTTGAGTGAAAAGGATTTTGGTCGTCTGATAAAATACCTCATGCTTGATGTTCATATGAATTAAGATGCTTGTCCAAAACAGTTTTAATTAGGTGTTGAGGCACACCACTAGTTCTGCTGGAAATATCCAAAGTTCTACTCAGTACAGCGTAGTCTTTTATCAACAACCCACGAAACTACAGAAGGGAATAGGCGAAATATGAAGGAGTTTATAAAACACAAGGGAAGAGGCTGAGTTATTTCTGAAGGAAACAGCAGAATCAGAAAACACCAGACTGAGGTTAGGTTCATTTTAAGATAAATGTTGTTGTTAACTTAACTGACCGTTCAACTTTGATTCAAGTATTTGCTGTAAGTACCAACTCTAGAGAGTTAGCATTCGTAGATATGTTGGATGAAAGGAATGTTAGATATCTCCAATCTGTATTGTCTGAAACCTTCAATCAAGGTTACCTAGCAGGACCTACTGTCGTAGATGCATATGGAATCCAGTGTGGACTGATTGCATCCATGCATAATTTCTCCTAAATTAAAATACAGTACTGTAATTCTTTTATCAATTTTCGTATGCTTTCCTACTAATATTTAGGTTTCCACACTCTTTCAGTCTACCCAAAGAAGGATGTGCCATTCTTTATTCTATTCATTGCAGCTTTGTGTTCTTTAACAGCTATACTTACGTGTTTAACTCACGTCTATCCTGAACAGATGGGATCACTTTCTAATAAGGTGAGTACAATTATGCAAAAGCACTGTAACATAACCAAAACATATCTTTGAACACTTGCCGTTTAAAATGCAATTTTAACGCTGTAGAACTGGAAATCTCAAAAACATATAGTGATGTTGTCAGCTGCAGAAAACCTGGGAACACTGGACAACCTACAAATGATTGTCGTACTAAACCGCGAACTAACAGAAGTTGAAAAAGTAGACCTAAATTTCAACCCAGTGACTGAATGGTAATGTGCCTACTAGACAGAACCTGATGGTCTCGGGTTCTAAACCCTGACAGGTTCTTGGGAGGGGGAGGCACTGCTGAGAAGTCCCAAACATATATTCAGTGCTTCTAGGTCTCCATCCATTCTTTCGAATCGTATGTGTATAAAATCGTAGCTACTTAACCGAGTCCTTCAAGTCTACGCTTCTTAAAATTGTAGTATCACTTTAATATCCAACAAAAGTAACATGGAATTATACCCTACATTAATGCTCAAGTCCTACTGTTACACCAATCAAACACTAGCGAACCATATCTACACATTTCGACTTCGACAGCCACACAGTAAAGCTGACTGTCACTCAGTATATATAACTCTCTGACGTAGTATATGCACTTTTCTGAAGGAAGTTCTTACCTGTATCTAAAGGTCTCTCAACCTGCTTAGAAACATTGCAGTTTATATTATTTTAACCATATCCTAATACAGCTTGCTTTTTTTTATATTGTTTTTGCAGACTCTTAATTGGTTTTTTAGTCCAATCAATTATCTTTTGGAAAGACTTGAAGGATTACTACTATTATTAGCGCCAACGTCCGCTCGAAAACTTTTAACGTGAACAATAACTCATATATAGTGTAAATGAAGCTAAATCAGCATTTGCTTTGTCTTACAGATCACATATTTGTTTCAGTTATTGTCATTACGCTTCTTCCTTTGTTGTTTATCCATATAATGATGTTGTTTTTCGGTATTTATTTCAAAGGAAACATTGTTAATATTGCTCTTGTGAACTTTATTACCTTTTCGTTTTATGTATTTTTTCTTCTTCTCAGAAGTAGTAATCTGCAATCGCAAAAAGCATATTAAAATATTATCAAGGGATTTTTTTCTAATAAATTTGCATCCAAGTAGTTTTCGACAAAGAAAAGAAGAGAAATAATCACATGAGTTTAGTGTTTTAAATTATTATTATCAGTTTTGTTCCATTCTTCTTCAGTGAAACCTAGCAAATCTATTTCATCTGGATCCATTAGTTTATTCTCTGCTCGACAGCGTAAATAACCGGCTGCTTCTGATCTACAAAGAGAATTGTCCCAATGATTTTTTTTCATACATTGTGTCCATTCAAGCATTGCAACCTTACATATACCACGGTGATCCAACGGAAAACTTCCTTTCAATGGTGGGGAAATGTCAGATCTCCTGGGTACATAACCTGTCGAATTCGCTGATACTGTAAGGAATACACTCATATCTGAAAAGAAGAAAACAAATACGTAGTGGAAATTCGATCATAAAAAGCGTAACAGCTATAGGTTGTGTCATGAACTTAGTGTATAGATAAAGTGATATAATTCTAACAATACTCTAGACGGCGTTAAGTTTCAGAGTTATTGATAACCAAACAATCCTGCTTTATAACCGAATTATTTGGCATACAAAGTTGGATGGAAGAGCTAATTTTAACGTGTTGCATATTGAAATGGTAAAGACTAGGTACTGACAGATAAATAGACGAATTTCTGGTAGTGAAAATTATATTTGTATTTATTTGTACATGCAACCGCAAAATTTAACATTAGTATCGATATAATTACACCTTCTTACGCTAGCCTGGAAACAAATCGATAATTTTCTGATGAAACATCTTGCACAAATTTTCACATTGCTAATGTTAAACTGTCAGGATTATCTAGACGGCAGAAAGACACATGCAATTGTATATTACTCCAATACGTGATTTTTCACAGCTAAATGAAGGAAAAGAGGTATACCAGCAATATTAGGAGAATAGAGTCATGAGATAAAAGCATCCAAATTTGTGGGAGTAGATATGCCCACCTTTGCCTCTTCGCAGTCATTGATTTTTTTACCATCCTCAAATATCAAACTTCGTTCCTCGTCCCCTATTTGATTATTTCACCTTCTACTTCTAGATATTTTCTGCTAGGAAGTGTGATAACTAGAAAAGCTACATGTACGCGAACCTTCGCCTTTATCTGTCTGTATAATATTTCATCTAATAGCTTACAAATATTAAAAGCCGAGTAAGGAGTGGACTTCATCTTTTGTGTCAGTAAGTTAATAGCTTCATTCGAAATTCAATAAAGAAATACCAGTCACTTTATTCCCTGAGATATATGAATAAAAAAGAATAGCCCACAGAAGTAAGATTAATAAAGATTGTTTACACTCTCCAAGTTATTCTCCTCAAGGAACGAACCACTGCGATGATGAAGGGTGTATTCATGTGATAGTGACAATAGATTTACTGGTTTAAAGCAAGTGCAACGAGATACTTTAGATGGTAGAGTCAATTAAAACTACTTCGTTCACGTACATAATCATTCTTAAAATGACAGGTGAAGTAGATTTCAAAATACAAGCTGGATACACACGATTCATAAAATAAGATGTAAGCAAATGGTCAGCAGGGAGACTTTACTAGCAGGTTACTTGTTATATTTGTTAGTAAGCACGCATTAAGTATCTCTCCGATGGCAGTATAAGAAATGATAATCTTTGAAGGATCATTAATGTTCTAGAGATTAAAAAATATTGATGAGTGCCAAACACAGCAGAATTTCCTACAGCGCTAAAATGTCTAACATTGAAAAATGTATGTTCGTACCAGTCAAGTTGGTCAAAAAATGAACTTGTATAAAATACAAATTTATAGATTGAAATATTATATTAATATAAGTACTCAGAGTTATATGAAGAACAAGACAGTGGGATGTCTACGATTAAATTTTATTTTTTATACAAATCAACAATTATGTACAGTTTTTAATTGTATGAAATAAAGGTTACTCTTGAACAAAATCAATACTTTCTCGTTTCCAGTATATCTGCAAAAAAAAGTTTGCAATTATTACGAAGTTATTTAATACATCATAGTAAATATTCATAAAGTAACATGTTTATCAGAAGTTGCTCTCTGTATTAAAAGATATTCTAGTTTATCTATAAAAACATTAAAGCGACGTGAATTAACTGAACTTTTCATACTTGTAATAGATGATTTTGTGTTCCCAAACAGATTTTTTTAAAACCTCATTAGAATTTTGATTTGTTACTCACTTTTATAACACTTCTGGCAAAATTTGCTTACTGTAGTTGTTTAAAAGCGAAATTCAACCTTAACATGTCGAATATGCTGAACAAACACAAAAACCTGATTATCCATCTTGACAATATTTCGTTTTGTACAAACTATAGAATAAGCGTAAGATTATTGTTCCATATTTATTCGAAGTAAGGTGACATATCCAATCTTCATTTCAATACAGTATGTTTAGTACAATTCATTGATCATACCCTGAATTCCTGTTTGTTGCAAAAAGCGTATACTGACTTTGTTTAGCCGTGAAAGACTGATGGTCGACCGCTCACCACGCCGCCTGAGATCGAACCCAGGAGCTTCAGGTCCTACGGCCAGCACACTACCGTTGAGCCACTTAGAAATGGTGACCAGTGGGGCTATCCGAGTCTGGTATGAGGACAGTTATTCAACGACGGCACTGGGTGGAAATCGTGAACTGACGAAAGTAGGAAATATGGAAGATAAGATAAGATATAAGAATCCGACCCAGCGACACAATGGTAACGCCCTCGTCGTCGAACCTGAAGATCCTAAGTTCCATACCTGACAGGGTCATGAGTGCGCACTGTTGTGGAGTCCCATACTAGGACGAAACAGCTGTCCAGTGCTCCCAGGTTTCCAATAATTCTCCAACTAATGTCAGTCCGTGATGAATACCAACCTGAAATGCTAAATTGTTGCAAATATATAATAATAGTGAGGAGCGAAAACATATAAGACATTATGATTTGAAATCAAATCACACTTTGTAAAAAACACATAAAACTGGTCATAGTCGTTCGATTACAATAACCTAAGTAAGTTCATAATTATTCTGTCGTTCGGTTATCTTAGGTTTCTGAACCATTTACTTGGTGTAGTGTCTAACGAGTGCACTGACAAATGTCTTGGACTTTTTTTAATCATAGATTCCCAGGAGAAATATGCTCGAAGAAATAAGGGGCAGTTTTTCTTTCGATTTGCCTGCTTTAGTAGACACAAGAATGATATAACTTCATCTATAATCAAAGGTGAAATAGAGTGGGTGTTTATCGATCTTGAAATGCACGGCCAACTGTCGGTTGAGATGAATAAATAAAACTCTACAAAACCTCCGAATTGAATTCAGCATTTATTGCATACTTTGGTCACAGTAGTGTGAAATTTGATTCTGAAATACCATTAGTCGTTTACCTACACTACCAACTGACATCCTTCTTCAATACGATGAAATACGTTAAGATTCTGCTGAACAGTTAACGAAGAACAAGATTAATTTGTTACTTAATTGTGGTACTTAGTATTTTAAATTTCGTTAAGGAGGATGTGTTAAAAAAATAATAAAGTCACTTACTTTGACTCAAGGATTCACTGAGTACTCTTCGCGGACTGTTGCACACCCTATGAAGAAGGATTATGAAAGATCTGTTACTAGGTGCTTGATTACAAGAAAAAATTTTACCTTACAAGTTGCTCGATAGACTTACTTTTAATGAAGTAACAGTGACAAATAATGGTTGTCTTGAAGTGATCAGTTTACCGCAGTCGGGTTACGTTAAACTGTCTAAGACTGACCAAAGAAAAATAACATATCTGCGACGTCATCGACTGAGGATTTGAATCATATGGACAGCTGAATAAAATATATGAGATGGTACGGACCAACAACTATCTGCCCTTCCTAATACAGACCGATAGGGATCATAATGACGCAGATGTATTCCTGATTTACCGATCACAAAATTGCTAGTATCCTACTACACTAAACATGTTTGTTTACGCTCCCACTAGTTTTTCTCTTTTCTTTAATTCTTGGATATTTTCGCCTTTATAAGCTTTAATATCTGTGTGCTATTATGCAACAACCCACAAACAACGGATGTCCGTTTGTGCGTGGTTTTAAGCTGCTGAATATGTCAGTGTTTGTGTGAATCCCTTAAATTCCTCTTGCTTAAAGCACAAAGTCTGGTTATTTAGTCACCTTGTTATTTAGCTCCTTTTTAAAGACCAGTTTCTCAGAAAGAGATATGACTGAAAATAGATAAATCACGCACAAGACACTAGGTTACACCGTTTGGTAAACAGAGCTTACAGCTAGAATCCATGGAAATATCAAAATTGTAATATTTACGCAAGTCAATATATCAGATTCATGTATTTAACTCGTATCACATAATACCATTCAAAACATACCTAGAAGTACGGGAAATAACGCTGATACCTATGAAATCATAGAAAAAGGCGAAAATGTTTATCAGAAAGCACATTTGAACATCGTTTTAACTTTTTTTTTCTTGAAAATGCATAGAATATGCTTAGAGTACTGCAATACAATAAGTTAATTAAGATTTTTTTTATTAATGAATGAACCAAAAGTTGCTAATAAGCAATTTCAAAGAAATATTAATTTATTCTATCAATGAAGAGTAGATGACACCTTTGTTATAAATTCTCATTGTCACAATTAGAACAGGACATACAAGCGAACAGTATTGTTTTCAATAAGCTCCAGTCAGGCTTAATGCTAATATAAACATAAATGTTCTTATCTATCGCATTCCACAAAACCTTTCGAATAAAATTCGCACCCATATTTTACAGATCGCTGAGGCTATGGGAATTGGAGAAAAAGTCTGTTCAGCCTTTATCTTTACCTTGTTTAGATAAAACCTGATAAATAACTTCAAAGATGAATTCGAATTTAATCCTCTTCTTTCACACATGATGATTTGCTTATACTTTGATCATCTACAAATTTCATCCTTTAGCATTACGTAACTTTTATTTGTCTAAGTTTTGACCTACATTGTTAGTCTAAATGTTCGCAGTAACCTGCTGTTCTCATGATTCTCATCATCATTGAGATAATTATTATAATTGTTATTATTATTACTATTTATGTTGGGTGATGATTGAAGGTGAAATGAAAATTTGGACCGCAGCCGGATTCGAAACAGCGACCACTGGGTTCCCAAATCGATGCTCTACCAACTGAGCTATGAGGTCCGACTCCTAACCACATTTTTACTTCACTTCAATCACTATGGGTTTCGCCCGATTACCATGTGAATTCGTGATGCGTTACTACCATTTAATCGTATTCACACTGGCTGCTTAGTCAGGACTTCTCATCCCAACCCAAATCTAACTGAATTAGAAAGAGAGAGTATCATATTGTTTATCATTTTGATTATGAGAGATAGTCGTAGTTTGACAGACTAGTATTTATAATGGGTGATGATTGAAGGTGAAATGAAAATTTAGCCCGGTTCGAACCAGCGACCACTGACCGGGCAGCCAGTGTGAATACGATCAAGCGGTAGTGACGCATCACGAATTCACAGGGTAGTCGGGTCAAACCCTTGGTGATGGAAGTGAAATAAAAATCTGGTTAAAAGTCGGATCTCGTAGCTTAGTTGACAGAGCACCGGGCCGGAAACCGTGTGGTCGCTGGTTTGAATCCGACAGCGGTCCAAATTCTCATTTCACCTCCAAAAATCACTGAGTATAAATAATAGTCTGCCAAACCACGGCTATCTCAGACAATCAAAATGATACTTATTATTGTCTAGATATTTGCATGCTTCACGTCCTAGTTACCACAGACCGAAGAACCCACCATAAATTGGTTCAATGTTTTATATTTGAGAAAATTTATGTATATTAGCGTAAAACCTGATGAGAACTTATTGAAAACAATGGTATATGTCTTCTACATTTTGTCATGTTGTAAGTTCAACGGCGTGCTAACTTTAAAAAGGAAGTCCGTTATAAGGAATAAACGTGAATAAAATGCAAAACAATCGGTAAAGTTGAAACTACGGCATAAATGCGAAAATTCATAGATTAGTGTCATTTCATGGTATGAAGTTGTGGAACGAAAGACGTTTAATGAAGAGTTTCTCCTTTCAGCAATATCATTCTCAAGCTGTCCAGTCCCATATATATATATATATATATATATATATATATATATATATATATATATATATACGTAGCAACAGAAAATGAATACTTCGTAAAATATCTTCGAACAAAATTCAGCATCGATTATGAATCAGATCATAAAATGAATTGCGCAATGTTTAAAATAGTATTACGAAGAAGACGTATCTAGACCGAAGCAATATTAAATTACTAGGCCAAATGACGTAATGTGATTATGGTTAAAGGAATCGATGAATGTAATGAAAATCAGAAGTTTAGCGGTAGAAGTGTGTGATGTGTGAGAAGACATAATATGATAGTCAGCAGATGAAGGGAAAGATCTTGGGGGTTGAATGTTCTTCAAAGTCATGTCCATTGCAACTTGACGGACTCGATAAAATTCTTCTGAATGAAGAGTTTAGGTTTCAAAATATGAACTGCTATGGCTTCCGTAGTTTGGTGAAATTTCAGGTGTACACGATTCCTGTGTCTCGCGTGAGCCCTATGGATGACACAGCAGAACATTTAAGCCTAGAAACTCACCAAGAAACAAGTTTTGCATGTTAGAGGATCCAATAGAATCCACTTGACAAAATAGTTTGGTTTGTCAAATTCCATACAGCGATTTGATCCTAAGTACATAGGTCAAAGCAATCGAACAGGGTCAATTAGAATAACAGAGCACAAGGACTTGATTAAATCTAGAATGATAGGCCCTAGTAAGATAAGAAATCTAGAGAAAACTTCAGCCATTCCGATGCATGCGATCACATGCAGCCATACAAAAGGATGGGACAAAGTGACAATCGTGGAAAATGACTCACTAAGGTGCAAGGAGATTGATGACTGAGACTGTTTATCGAATCAACATCAAACATACCCAACAGGAATGAATTCACTTACTCTAAATATTTGGAAAATTCTACTACCCATAGGATAAATGAAGAAGAAACAGAATTATCAAAAACAGGATGTGAAAGGTGTGGTTACCGTTGATGTGAACACGAATAATAAGTCCTATTCTAACCGTTATCCAGTAAGCAATACTGTATCACTGTTTGAAATATTAACACAAACAAACTACCATGGTATTATACACTACCAAAATACCAAAGCTCTATGCTACACTGATTTATTTGTTTATCCATTAACCTGATTTACTGAAAACTCCATGCCTAATCTTGTCGTCTCCAAGTCGATTACACGAAGCAATGCTTCAACAATGCTCATGATGCATGCAAAATACGTAACTTCAGTTAAATATCTGATAGCTATGCAGGAAGATAGGTGAATGTTTTATGCAATATCTCCAATCTTCCGTGGAGAAATTTTCAAACGTCTTACTTCTACCCCAATTAATTTCCCTGTTAGCCTCCAACTACCATTTTCGGAGATAACAATTCTAGGAAGCGAAATCTAAGTGATATTATGTTAGTCTCAAGTACTGCACCAAATTAAAAGATTTTCACTGAACACGATTAGCATATTGTGCAGTCAAACAACAGGCGAACAAATACAACACATTTGAACTTCATAGTCGAAGAGCACTAAACTACACCAGCCGAATCCATCACCGCTTAAAATGTCTGAACCCCAATTTGCTTGCATTTCGGGCAATCTATAAACTTGTTCTATTTGGCTAATTTCAACAAAACAGTTTCGATTTCATTTTTGGGCCTTTCATGCCTCAAATCAACAGTTTATTTATTCTGTTCTGTATTTTGCTTATATTCTCTCTTTTCCTTTGAATATTCCGAGTAATCTCTCAACTTCAAGCATAGCATGATTCTGTGAAAACGACTGTCCGGCAAAAAAAAACTTATTTTTCAGTAGAAATATTTTCCTTTAATTCATTCGGCCTTTTTCTTCATGAGAGACATACGACTATCAAGCATGCAAATGGGACCAACTCCACCAAGTTGTTCATATACGAACACAAGGCAACAAGCTACACTTACTGTGTAAGGGCAAGTAATACTAAAAGAAGCAAAAGACAGGTGTGAAGGAAGGAATGTTTATTGTGGGACAGTAGTCGTTAAATGTGGTACACTTTGCACTAAAACCGTCATTTGCAAAATATGCTTCATTTCCTCTTCTGCTTCTTTCTTGATTTGCTCTTCATACACACCTGCCTTGTCTCTTGCGTTTCTCTTGGCGGAATCCTAACCCATTGCTGGTGATTCCCTATGATTTCTGCTACCCTCTCAACATATACTGCTTATACCCATTCTTATCAGCACGCTTACTACAATACTACCTGGTTGCGCAAACCTCAATAGGTGGGACGTTGTCCGAACCCGTTACCCAGTGGTTGAAAGTCAACTCCCTATACGAAGTAGCTAAAATTCCACACATGATATTGTGAAAACACTCAACAAGACAGTAGAAAATGTGTGAAAAACTTCAAGAATTAATTACTAAGCACTGAATTGCAGTTTTGTGCAGATATCAAAGTAAATTAAGTGAATTTTGGAACTCACCAGGTTTACGAATGGATAACTCAGCTTGAAGTAAACTGACCTGTCATTCAATGGACCATATGTCAATGCTACACTATCTACTAGTGTCACATAATATATTACTACGGAATATATTATTGCTTTGTACTGAAGTGATTTTTTATTACAACACTTCTGTATAACTAACTTCACATTTGATCAGTCTGAATATGGTTTTCATTACACACTGATAATAGTCGAACTAGAATGGCTCCCGTTTATACCGATCAATCACACTTCAATGGCAGCAAACCATGTATTATTGACCTGTCATCCCCGCTATATAAAATCTCGACGACGGCAGGGCAGGGGAGCCAGTGGTTGAAAAAACGGATATGCTTTGTTTAAGTTCAACCTTGTTAAGTTTTAGCAGTAAAGTAATTCTTAGGAGAAAAAATAAACCGACAAACGTTGGATGAGAAATAAGTAAACTCACTTTTTAATCGCATTAAGTTCGACTTGATACTTTTGGAGTTGAATTCGTTGCTTAATTTATCTTTAATCTCAGCAACAACATGGTCATCATCGTTATGCATCACTACACTTTTATTACTGTTCGATATAGTAGCAGTCGAGTGTGTACAGTTTTTTTTTCAAATTTGGTGTTGTGAACAAGTTTTCAGAGTTACCAATTTGACTATTGACGGTCGATACTTTCAAAGATGTCTTCTTGGTAAACTTTGTTTTACTTCTAAATATTTGAGATCTGTTTAATAATGACATTGACTTCCTAGTGGATTTATTTACATTGAAGTCATTCAGTATTGATAAGTAATTCGAAGATTCTAAGAAACGTGGATATGAATCTGTTTTCATCAGTAAATAAACCTAGTTTTTTGATAGGTCAGAAACAAAAATAAGGTAAAATAAATGAGTGAATGAATAAATAAATAGAAACAATACAGTAACTATGAGTGGCTTGCTGTATTTGTGAGTATTACACAAACATGTGACGTAACTTATCTATACAACTCAATTATGTTTAATTATGCAGATGTGATAATTTGCCGTATTATTTACTAGTTATCAAAATCGTTCACTATCGTAGTTAAATAATCGAACCAAACGTCAAGAGATTGACTGAAACATACAGATAGTCAAAAAGTAAACATACACAAAATAAACGCAAAACATGAAATACAGGTGCATCGATGCAACTTGCCACACTTCACAGTAGTTTAAAAAAGTGGATAGTAAAAGAGTGATATCAAAGTAGACGAACTTGTGAGAGAGAATGAACAAGATAAGTGTGAATATTCAGGCTTTAGAAGACATCAAGGAGTGAATGTATGTGCACAACTATGACAGGTTTCTAGCCACATCACCACAAGTCCTCAACCACTAATTTCTATTGTCTTGGGGACCCCAGCCAGGTAGTTTACATCTCCTCATACTCCTCAGACCAGTAGTTAGAGACTTCATGGTGTGACCACCCTGAATTTTCTCGCCCCCCCCCTAATCCAACTTCCCCTGGCAGGACACGTCGAAGTAGGCGGTGGCTCAGCATGCGCAGCACATATCCCAGCCATCACAGTCGATGGAAGGTCACAACCTCATCGGACAGTCAAAATGATAATAATCTAAAGTAAATCGCTAAATATGTATAAAAATTAAACCAATCATATAGATTTATCCGTTAATGTGATAAGCGTTTTCAAACAACCGTGGAGATTATAGCAATAATAATAATAACAGCAAAAACAATAATAATGATAACGTTGACAGTATGAACTTTATCGTTAGAATTTTCCTATCCCTTTCTTATTCTTCACCTCTTTCATATACTCACAATATTTGTTAAGACTTTGTTTAGCCAGTTCCTTCGTTCCTTTATTTTCCCCACTGCTGATTGGAGTGTCTAAGTTTTCATGTTGTCCTCTTCAACATCATCATTATTTATACTGCGTGATGATTAAAAGTGAAATGAAAATTTGGACCGCAGCCGGATTCGAAACAGCGACCACTGGGTTCCCAAATCGATGCTCTACCAACTGAGCTATGAGGTCCGACTCCTAACCACATTTTTACTTCACTTCAATCACTATGGGTTTCGCCGATTACCATGTGAATTCGTGATGCGTTACTACCATTTAATCGTATTCACACTGGCTGCTTAGTCAGGACTTCTCATCCCAACCCAAATCTAACTGCATTAGAAAGGGAGAGTATCATATTGTTCATCATTTTGATTATGAGAGATAGTCGTAGTTTGACAGACTAGTATTTATTCTCGTAGCTCAGTTGGTAGCGCCGGAAACCCGGTGGTCGCTGGTTTGAATCCAGTCGCGGTCCAAATTTTCATTTTACCTTCAGTCATCACCCAGTATAAATACCAGTCTGCCAAACAACGGCTGTCTCATACAGTCAAACGATAATCATCATTATCATCAATATTATAACTGCTTGAGTCAACACTGTCAATGTTATCATTATTTTGAAACAGTTAGTCCCTTTTATGAATTTCGATGGCGTAATTAGAAGACGAAGTTTATCTGGGCAATGTGATGTATTTGTGCAATACATTCCAAACAATCTGATCACACATTTACTTGTCAAGTCAATCTATATTAAACCGAGGACTTGGAGGGGGGGGGAGGGGGGAGGAACAAATACAACAATTAACACAATTAACACTGGTTGCCCTCATCTTTCTTAATTTTAATTCCCTATTGTGTTAATTGTTGTATCTGTCCCCCCAAGTCCTCGGTTTAACATATATTGACTTGACAAGTAAATGTGTGATCAGATTGTTCTAAATGTATTGCGTAAATGCATCATACTGCTCCGATGAACTTCGTCTTCCAATCACGTTATCATTATTATTTTCAGTATGATCACTATCGTTATTTTAAAACACTTGCGTCATCAACCGATAAATCTACGTATGACGTGATGTGAACATAAATTTATATCCAGTTGTATGCTGGATATGAAACATCACACAACGAACGATATGTATAAAACTTGTTGAGCACAAACATTATGATTTATGGTAAGCTAAAATTTAATTACCTGCTTTTCAGCCTCCGAAAACATATTCATGTGAGGATTGGACAAACAAGACGACGCAGACTTCACAGCTGAGTGATCTATATTTACAGCCTGAGGGGCATCCGGTACCAAGAATTTATTGAATATTTCATTTGCATCCTCATGTACCTTCGTAAAAATAAATTCATCAGAGTTAACTTAGATATCATAATAGATGCTTGAAGCACGAATTCTTAGCCATATACGCAACCATGTACTACACAACGTGAAAAGTACTTACAAACTAATGAAAAAGAATGTTTTGCTTTTGTACTGTTATTTGTCAGAGTAATCTTCCAATCACTACATTGAAACATTGAGTAGTGTAACCAGGCACCAACACATGTAATGATCAACCTCATAAAGGTAACTGTATCAACCCCACCGATTTAAGTACTATATCAGAAACATAAAAAACAGCGACAGTAAAATATCGTGAGGTTTCCATTCCAATTCTAGTAGTTTAGCTTTCGAATGACTTTGAAAATCACCCCAATAACTGCTGAATCCCTTTGCTTGGCTAAGACAAGATCACCTTCCTAACAGAAATAAATTTTATCCGGTTACCAGAGTAGTTAGTAGAGTGACCAGCAAAACCACTCAGTTCTTATAACAGACAACTTTACATCTAGAAATTTATAGACCTGATGTATCGGTTTGCAAGAATGATTCAACAGTGAATTAAAGTTAGATCATAGGAAATTTTATTCATCAAATTCAGTTACTTAAGGATAACGACACGCTTGACGCATTTTTTAAACATCATTTGTATCATCTGTAATCAAACAGTGAACACCAGTGATTATGAGGACTCTTAGTAGAGTTACAACGGTTTTACCAAAAAATCAAAGTAGAACCTTGCACACAAGTGTATTGTTCAAGCTGCCACACGTCCCTGTAGTTTATAAAGAAAAAATAGATCGAACTAAATAGAAAAGGATATCGAAGTAGACAAACTTGCGAGAGACAATGAACAGTTTAAAGATAAAGGTTAGTGCAAATATTCAAGCTTTAGAATAAATCAAAGAGTGAATACATCTGCACAACTGTGACCCAGCCATGTCACCAGGAGTTCCAAACTACTGATTCCAATTACATCAGTGACCCAAGCCAGGAAGTCGACAACTCCCCACATGGCTCGGACCAACTGTCAAAGACTTCATGGATTGTCCCACACCTTGATCTGACCACCCTGAACCTTCTTCCAACATAATCCAATCAAGGTCGGCAGTGGCTCGGGATGCACAGTGCATGTCCAAACCATCTCAGTCGACAGAAGTTCACAACCACACCAATCGATTTGATTTCCCTGTTTAGCATACTTCACCTGGCCTCAAAATTACCCACATAGTGATTCCACCGCACATGACCAATCCTATGAAGACAATTATATTTAAAAATCTGTAACCAGCATGTCTCATAGCCACATAATAGACGGTAGCATATCTCGCCAGCGGGCGCCACACGTGACGCACGTTGGCAAATGTCAAATTGACCTTCTATATTCGAGCTGAGATTTAGTCAACAACCGGTTCGTTCGGACTGATGCAACTTCTCAACTAAGTGAAGTGGTCGACACACTCCACCACTTTACTCCCTATCACTAAACTGGAAGTACTTTAGGCAGGCCAGTGCTGGAGTATTATGCTACATTTGATAGGTGACAGCGAAACGCTTGCTAAACGCACTCAGGTTTCTGCAGATGGCTGATACTCCCTAGCGATTTACACCGTTTAATTTCATAATTTACTGATGTAATAGTGTGTCACAAATAAAAGTGCTACCTAGAAGCATTCAACATATCCGTATATTAAGGTGTATTACACTTGGTTTGTGGAATCTAATGACATTATGTGGTTGGACAAATTAGAGTAGGTTGAGTGGATTTAAATTTTGATACAATGGTTAGTAATAAAGTTTCGAAACTACTAGATCGAGATGTTACACATTCTTGACGTACTGTATAGAGAAAGAAGATCACGGATAGGAGCAGCTTCAAAATATGAAACCAAACAGTAATGCCAGAATGCACAAAGTGATATCATATGGATGTTTTACAAACATTAGTTGACGGTCATGCTAATTAATTTCAACCGGAGAAAAAGAACCACAAGAAAAAAGTCAACCATCCATGATATGGGCGATTATCAATCATTTTGAGGAATCAAACTGATATGTTAAGAATAGGAGTTTGAACATACTGGATATCAACTATAAAACAGGTTGGTCATAATTCTCATTCCTTAATAACAAGGTAAAGTGCGAATTCACTTCTCGCATAGAAAATGAACGACTCCTTATTTGCTGTGTCATTTTTTTTGTCTGTTAATACAGTTGTTGATAAGAGAAATGAAAGTGAGATTATTATACTCATTTATTAAGTTGATTGGTTGATAATATCGACAAGAAATATTCCACTGTATTAAAGAAGTTCATTTACGATAAATAATTTTTGCAACTTAACCTACACCACACTAATAGTCATTTCTTTAGTATAGCTCTTTTTACCGAAGCCAAAATGAAGTGTGACTACTCTTATTAAGGTACAGACAATATTTCAACCCTATTAATACCTGTTGACATGGTGGTCAGGCTTGTATATCACAGTGACCCAACAAGTTACGCTTATGGAACGCTTGTTCCTTCGAGGTCCTACCATGTCAGAAAGGTCTTTTGGATAGTGGTAAAACAGAAGGCAGCTGCCACTATAGTACGAATTGCTACGCTATAACGAGGGTCTAAGGTAGAAGTCGTACTGATGATTGGATGGTTGGATGGATGACCAGCAATGTCATGCTGTTGCCGCCTACTCTATGAAAAGGAAGGGGGTTAGAAAAAGTCGGCCCCCAAAACAACCCACTCCTCCCCTTCCAATAGTCTTCCGGTACCTGCAACATGGCTTTTCTCTATCTGGCGTTAGAGTAACCTAATCTGAAAACAGCAATTTGAAAAAGGCCAAAAGCCTAAAGCTGCATTCTTATGGGCTCCGTGGTCACACACTGTTCCTCCCTTTTCAGGTACCCCAAGAAGAACTAGCTTTCCACTCTGTGGGCAGCCGGAAAGTGTCAACTGCCCGCACGCTCCCAGTAGTACACAAGATCCAGTCAAACAACCTATCTCCCATAACTCTATCTCTTCGTTTGCCTTCACCTCCTGATTAAGCCTATTACACCTTTCTCAATCTCTAACTCTGCAACCACTGTCAACGATCAAAGCCATTGAAACTTCATTCTTAGTCTCCCAAGACCCTGCCATGGATTTCATGCAGGAGCTTTCAACGTCCAAAATCTATGCTATATCGGACAGCAAGCATCGCTCGTTGACTCGCTAGTGTAGGGCAGAAAGTGCTCTTCTCCACTGGATACTAGTCAACAACTGTCTACTTCCTGTTCAACTGAATGGATCTGTAAGAACTAGGAAGGGTCGTGAGATCAGCCGATGTCTATTCGTACGCACGAACTAACTGCGATTCAGATGATGCAAAGCAGGTGACTTCAACGCTTGAATAAGGAAGCTGAGTCAATCGGAAAGGCATCTGGGAGGTATTTAATGAACCCCACGCCAACATACCGACAACGGTGATCGTCTCGTACAGTTTTGCTCTGACAATCATCTGTTTCTAGTCAGTACTACCTTTCGGCATAATCAGCGACATTGTCTCACATGGAGTCCACCGACATCAAACTAACAGTGGACAAAGATAGGTCACATTGCTACAAACCATCGTTGGAGAGGATCGGTGGAGGATTCCCGTTCTTTCTGGAGTGTCAGTTTGTACTCCGGTCAATTGCTAGTACGGGCTAGTGTATGTCCGGACTTTGCTGGTCGCAGGAAACAGGCGACAGTAAAGTCTCCCTATGGTTGATTCGAGTATAAGGCCATCAAGTGGGTATTTAGAGAGAAGTTAGTTAACCATTTATCTGGAGGTGATAGCAATGTCCATTCTGAGGAAATCTGGCGCGATATTAAGTCTGCTGTAGAAACAGTGGTAAAGACAGTTAGTAACCTACACCTAAAGGTTAGCAAACAACATCCGAACTAACTGATACGAGAAGACTGATTTCAGATGGATCTCACCACGATGAAGAGCGAAAGCAACTTAAACGTATGTTGGTCAAGAGTTTTCGCATCGATTGCTGACAGTGGTGGGTAGCGAAAGTGAGAGAGAGGGAGAAGGCATCAGAGTTGGGTAACACTTAGCTACTCTTTAGGCTTATTAGGGATACCAGCAAGAAAAAGACGATGGTTAGTGAAACCATGGCCGAAAAGGATAGGACGCTGATAACCTCCCAGGACAGACGGCTAGAACGCTGAAGAGAACACTTTAAAACATAGTTTAACTGACCCACGGCAACGCTTCAGTTGCCCAATATCTAGCCAGAACCTGTATGGGACGGATATGTCGGTCCTCCGACTCTCCTTGAAGTTGAGAAAGCCGCATCAACTTTGAAACGATGCAAAGCAGTAGGATCTGATAGTTTGCCACTCGATATTTTAAGAATGGAAGTAGCGCATTGCTGTTTAAACTAATGGACGTACTAGGTAGTGTATAGGAATAGCTTCACTGATCATTTTAGTCATTAAGAAGGTAAAGAGTTCGTCTTGTGATAACCACAAGGAAATTAGTTTGACTACTATTGTGTCCAAGACCCTAGGTTCCAGTTACCCCATGCATAACTGTACCTCGAGAACAGCAAACTCGAAAAAATAAGGCAGGTTTCAGACAAGAGTGCATCCATCATATTTGCACCCTTTGACAGTTTTGGAGCACACATACCTACTGGTAGCCGATACTTCCCATATCTCCTGACCTGTAAGCGGCATTTGACTCAGTCGATCGTGAGGTGTTGTGGCGGCGTCTAGTTCTGAAGGAAGAATCGAGCGAATATATAACGTTAACCAAAGTTTTCTACTCGAACTCACGCAGCCGCACAAGAGCTTATGGACATTCATCATAATTGACGACAATCAGTAGTGTACGGAAGGGATGCCCACTATTACCGTTCTTATTTAACTTCGTCATAGACTTACTAAAGGAAATAATCTTAGGCATATCTGACTTCACTGGGATGAATCTACTCCCTGGAGCGTCAACAGGTTGACTTAGCATACGCAGACGGTATTATTCTGCTAGGGGAAGACGCTGACAAAATGCAGGGTCCCTTGAACGCATTGACCAGAAATCTGAGTGCGTTTGACAGGCGCCTCGCACTTATCAAATGTAGGATTATGTCCCAGAACCAGTCTGCTGCAACTACTCCCAGCTTAATGATAGGTAGTGAAGTGGCGGAATAAGTCGACCACTTCACTTACTTGAGAAGTTGCATCAGTTCGAACACAATGGTTGTTGATGAATTTCAGCTCAGATAGAGATCTATTTGATATTTCCTAGCTTGCATCATCTGTGGCGTCCACTGGTGAGATATCCGAGGTGTGTTCTCTGTCCTGTTATGTGGCTGTGAGACATGCTGGTTACAGATGTTTGAACGTAATTGTCTCTATAGCATCGCTTGCGTGTGGTGGAATCACCGTGTGCGTAATTTTGAGACCAGGTGAAGTATGCTACACAAAGAAGGCAAGTCGATTGATGAGATTGTGAACCTTCATGCAGATCCAGGTCCTACCACTCTAAGGGAAGTTAGATTAGGTTAGAAGAGGGTTCAGAGTGCTCAAACGAAGATGTGGCACCAGTGTATGAAGTTCATGAATGTTGGTCTGAACAGCGTAGTGAGGGGTGGATCACTTGATGAGTGTCCTCAAAGCGATAAAAATCGGTGGTTTAGGTGACATGGCTTGGAATCGGTCACAGTTGTGTAGATGTATTCACTCTTTGATTTCTTCTAAAGCTTGAATATATGCACTAACTGTTATCTTGAGATTGCTTATTTTTTCATACAATTTTATCTACTTCGATACCACTCTTTCTATCAACGTTTCCCCGATAAACTATAGAGAAGTGTAGCAACTTGAACCGATACATTTGTGTAAGGTTGTATGTTGGTTTTGTCAGTCTATCAGTACTTTACAGACTGTAAGTCATTTCTGGGGGGAAAAAAGATGATAGAGTGTATCATTGGCCCTATAGGATAAATGAATGAAATGAAAAGCATTATCGCATTTAAAGTAGTATTCATTACGAATTAAAAACAGCTTGAAAACCTTTAAAAACCTGGGAGCGCTGGGCAGCTGAGTGCCATGAGCCTGAATGAACAGATAACTTCAATTTTTATGTTTATTATCACAATGTTAACACGTTACAATGCACTCTATAGTTCATCTAACGTGATGGACAGAAGGTACATCTTTATAAATCGAATACAATCAGAAATGATTGACAACACTCTCATCCTGCTTATCGTATGGAAACTAATTCCTGACCAAAAAAAGTAACAATGCATTTTAAAAAGCACCTTTTTAGAAGTAATAATGAAACATACTTCTTTATTACAAAAACAGTTGCTTTTAAATAACTTTGAAAATATTATTTACTACTTGAACAGAAAAACTCAATATATTACTCAAAGACTAACTAACCACTACCACTTGTATAAGTTTGCAATCGACAGAGATGAGTCACTAAAATGATACTTACGTTTCTCGTCAGGAAAGCATCACGCCAGTTACGGACTGAAAGTAGAAAATCAAGATTTTCACTGCTGAATTCTGAAGTCAGAAATTTCTAAAACGAAACATGAAAATCGTAGACGAAAGAAAGTTTAATTACTAAGAAACGACTGTGTAAAATAAACAGTTACTTTACGTCCAAACAGTGATAAAAAACTGGAATCTAGTAACTAAATAAATTCCGAAAACTAAATATTAGAATGGTAACTACAACAAATGTAATTAAAATTGAATTGGTGCCTCACTTAGCTCCCCCCCGCGCGTTGGTAATTACGCTAAACAACATATTATTCCCTATATCGATACGAGTGAGTAATGTCGATCTGTAAAAAATCTTGGCTAGAAGCAACACAATGATTGGTCACTGGAAAGTAACCAACCAATGTATCTAATGCAATCAATGCTACAGGAGGTCAATAGGTAAGTGGGAACGTCTCTGATTCCAACACTGCGTGAAGTGGGTTCGAATCACACAGGAGACGTCAATTCGCTTGCTGACGAGTGCTGAAAAGCACGAAACCTGAGCCCACAGCTTCTTGCCGATTGCCTTCAACTAAAAAATACAAAGAATACCAGAGGACTTTCAAAAGCTTAGTAAATAGATGAATTAGCGATCAATAGATGACCAGCAACCAACTCAACTTATCGACTACTTAAGAAAATGATCGACAACTCTAAGATCAAAGGCTAAGTTGCAGAAACGGTCGACAAAAATACGTGCAATCAGTGATGATAGTATAAACACATCTCATATTGATAAGCTGCTAAATCACCTGGGAGGATATCTCAATAGCTCACTAACTGTTTCTTGAAATCAGCAGTGATGTATAAGAAATGAAAGCTTTATGATTGAGTCATTCAGCTTAGAGAATACAACACTAGGAAATTTGATGACACCAGAAAATATATTCCCTTACACTGAAATCCACCACCTTTTATAATGGTTAAATAACTGTCTACCACTGTTTCAGTAAGGCACTATTACCATGTTCTAACAAAATGTAGTGCGCGAAATGGTGTAACTTAAAGCACTTACACGCCACTAACATGACATGGAAATTGTCACTTCACTATGATGTCACGTTAAAAGAGGTAAAGCAGTCAATTTTACGGATTGTACTACTATGATCCATATAAACGTGATCACAAAACAATTCAGGATTCAACCACAAACACCATGCAATCTCATGTAACTGATATATTCTATCCTTGAGTATTCATTACTCAGATAAAAGTAAACCAGAACGATTCTGTGAACGAACAACAACGACACTACCAGCAAATTAATTTATGATAACTATAAAAATATAATGAATTAAAGAGAATCATTTAACTATCTGAAACAGCCGTAGTTTGGCAGACTAGTATTTATACTGGGTGATGATTTAAGGTGAAATGAAAATTTGGATTGTGGTCAGATCTCGTAGGTCAGTTGGTAGAACATCAGGCGGAAAACCCGGTGGTCGCTGGTTCAAATCCGGACGCGATCCAAATCTTCATTTCACCTTCAAGCATCGCCCAGTATGAATTCAAGAGTAACGAAGCTGACCAACACACACGCCTTGTAGCTACAAATCTGAATTTCTGAATAACCTCCGAAAAATCTTTAATGGTAATAGGAAGTAATCTCATTCGCAGAAGTGAATTGTTTAACACAAATGCCATGTTTCAGATATGATTTGTCCTTACCTGTTCCTTGTTATAGTTTGCACTACTTTCTAGCATGAAAGAGTGATAATGAAATTCAAAATATAACTTATCTTCTCTAAAAAAACAAGTCGCATCGATCAATGGTATGGTTGTAAGCATAAGAATGCTACACTGGAATTTTTCATATATTTTTATCTCAAAAATACACTTTGTTCATTATGGGTTCCAACAAATACGCCACAAAAAATATTAAATAGATATTGAAAGAAAAATAGGAAAACTTATGGAATGACCAAAAATAGATTTAAAAGATGAATTTGACAAAGCATCAACTGATACTAGGTGATGATTGAAGGTGAAATGAAAATTTGAACACCGGCCAGATTCGAACCAGAGACCACCCAGTATCAATACAAGTCTGCCTAACTACGGCTATCTCAGATAATCAAAACTATAAAGCATGAGTTACATATGTCTTGTTTTTCAATAATAGAAACATGAAAGCTACAATATGATACCCCAATTGTTTTGATTCCAAGTGATATCTTATGCTGTCTCGACCTCCAGCATGGAATGATTTTTCGAAGCTTAGTCAAGGAGTCTCGATGGATGAACAAGAACCGCCCCCCTCCCACAGCCCTCGTCTACCCCACAGCACCAGGTCATTCAACTAATGAACACCTTTTCAGTGAACGGAATGAGAGACACCGAGAAAATATTAAAAACATATCCAAATCTACAAAGTCAATACCTAGAGATGACATCACTTATTGATTAGCTACCTGAATTATGCTCAGGCACACTATATTGAGCCTCAGAATTACTTAGCTGGTGTTTCCAAAGGAGATGGACAATACCAAAGAGGCAAGTGATCGAAGACATAGAGTTGTTAGATATCCTTAGCTCGAAGAGGCCAGACTTGTACCATGTTTTACTGCAACACATAGATGAGATATGTATGCATACATTCCACATAACTATCCACTCTTACTTTGTTCGGACAACATATAACTTGCAGAAGGTGCAAATATGGACCTTGAAATTATGGGTCATTAGCATAGGCATGCAAACCTATCATGCATTGCACCAGATTAAATAGCATTATTTAAAAAAGGTATAGAAATATTTACCTTAAATTCATTACATCCAAAAGGATCATTCAAAAGATTGTCGAAATCTTTTGCCCAAAGTGTTGGATCTGATGAGGTGTATGATAAGGTATCTGCATTTCTATGTGGTTTCATATTTTCAATATCTTCATCTTCAATCATTGAACTAAAACAACTGACTTTTGAAAGTCGTTCATCATAATCTGTTTGGATCTAAAGAAAATGATAAAGAGGTGAATATTGAATGTCTTGAAAATGATATAAAATTAGTGGTACGAGAGGAAACTACTCAAAAAGCTTTCTTCTACAATAAATTAGCATATCATTCCAACTCTTCAGTATAAATGACGCATCATCAATAAAGTCAAACACTAAACATTCCAGCACCTTTTCGCTATAAAATTGTAATACACCAATTAAAATAATAAACATTGGTAACACAATAAGTGAGTTCTTAAGTATTTCTAAATCGAATAATTTCCCAACGTAGAACAACTTAAAGACGAAAAAAAGGTAAGATGCAATTGGTTAAGGGAAAAGGGCTGAAAGATGGATAATATACATTAATATTTCTATAAAAATAGTTTAACTTTTCAACAAATACAGTTTGAATCATGATTCCGTTAGAAATCATTTGTTTTAGATGACAGGCCAAAACTATCACAGTGAATTGAGCAAACGATGTCGAAATTGTCACTGGGTTGCAGTAAAGCCTTGAGATACGATAATTGCCGGGACATTATTGAGAAATATACAAATAATTTGTATACGATCAACAGGAATGTACTACCTAAATTTAGGTGCTTTGGAAAAATTTGATACACTGAAAGATGCATCTATCCAGACGCACGACATATAAACTTTGATAGGAACAAATGAAAAACTACCCGATGTTTTAATGACTGAAATTGACTGGTAGTACGTGGTGCCAACCACTAGTACAGGTGCTAATCAAGTACACTTAATTTTTCTGATGAAAAGTATGACATCCTGGACTTGAGTGTAGATAGAATAATATTTCAAGTTGAGGTGAAAAATTTATAAATCATATAAGAGACTTTATTCACATTTTTAATGTATTATTTTAATTAATAAATACTCACTGTTTCAGTAGAATTCTTAGGACTCATAATTCGTGAACTAAAAGAGGTTGTAGCCCTTATGAATTTTGAGAGTAGGTTAGCATTTATTGGTTCAGGTAGAGATTTTCTAGATTTTTTAGGCTATAAAAATGACAGTAGAGAAGATAAACAATCGACAAATGACCATGGGAAGAACTTCAAATTAAGAATGAAACGATTACTGACCATATATATATATATATATATATATATATATATATATATATATATATATATATATATATATATATATATAAACCTCGCCTGGTTAACTAGTTTACTAGTTACTAGCCGGTCCTAAGCCCGGGTAAAGAGGGAAGGTTGGGCATAGGGCTAGCAACCCTACCCCGTAAAACAAATCTAACCGCTAAAGAAACTTCAAAGCACAAACAAAATATAAAAAATGAAAACAAACTTATTCCCTGCTGGAATCGGAGAGGCGAAATGACACCAGTTGGTGAAAGCCTTCGGGAAGCCAATTGGCCGATGTGTCTTCTCTCGATGAAAGCGAAAGTAAACGTGGGGACATGGAATGTCCGCACGATGTTTGAACCCAGTAAGGCAGCCCAGATTGCAAAGGAGATGAGAAGGTATCACATCGAAGTGCTTGGGATTTGAGAAAGCAGATGGAATGGGAGTGGACTCTCCAAACTGTCAACTGGAGAATCAATAATCTACTCCGGTCACCCAGACGCCAACCACGAGCACACTGAGTTATGGAGTGGCTATCATGATGTCCTCAAAAGTATCGAAGGCTCTCATGCAGTGGGAACCAATCTCCTCCAGGATCATGACAGCAAGATTCAACTCAAAAGGAAGAAAGGTCACAATCATACAATGTTATGCACCTACAAATAATGCAGAGCAAGAGAAAAAGGAGGATTTCTACAGACAACTTCAATCAACACTGGACAAGACGTCAGTTGGCGATATCAAAATTCTAATGGGCGACATGAATGCCAAACTGGGAGGGGACAACACAGGAAGAGAACTAACCATGGGTCGAGAGGCGCTAGGTGAAATGATGAATGAGAATGGAGAATTGTTTGCAGAATTCTGCGCATTCAACGATTTGGTGATTGGAGGCGAGGTAGTGTGTTCAGGCACAAAGATATCCACAAAGCGACATGGATTTCACCAGATGGACACACTAAAAATCAAATCGACTTTATCTCAATCTCAAGAAAATGGAGACGCAGTCAGCCTACTTGACACAAGGTCAAGAAGAGGAGCAGATGTAGGTTCAGACCACTATCTAGTGCAAGGAACCTTCCAAATCAAGTTAAAGCCTTCAAGGAAGCTGGTGATAGACCTCAATTCAAGTACAACACTCGGAAACTGAAGGATGAAACTACAAAGGAGATCTTCAAGGCAGCCATCAAGACAAAATGGGAGACATCGAGCAACATCCCTGAAGAAACCTGTGTGGAAGAACACTGGAAGTCTTTGAAGGAGATGTGGAAAGAAACCTGCACAACAGTACTAGGAAGGAAGAAGAAAGAAGATAAGGAATGGATCTCGACGGATACCTGGAAGCTGATAGAGGAGAGGAGGATGGTGAAGCAGAAGATAAACCAGTGCAAGGATGCTCAACGACAAGAGGAACTGAGCACAATGTATAAAACACTGGACAAAGAAGTGAAGAAGAGTGCACGCAAAGACAAAAGACACTTCTACGAAACACTGGCAAGTGAAGCAGAACAGGCTGCAGGTAAGAGAGACCTGACGACATTGTATCAAATAACCAGGTTGCTATCAGGGAAGAGACCAACACAGATGAAACCAATAAAAGATGAAGAAGGAAATTTAATTACAAAAGAAGAGAAACAAGGAAACGATGGGCCGACCACTTCAAGAAGCTCTTGAATCGACCACCACCTGCACTTCGTCCAGAAATACCACCTGCAGCCGCTGAATTACAAGTGAACATAAATCCCCCAACGAAAATGGAAGTCCTGAACGCCATAAAGCTACTGAAATGCGGGAAAGCAGCAGGACCAGATGGAATACCGCCAGAAGCACTGAGAACAGATGCAGAGACAACAGCAGACATGCTCACACCACTATTGCAGAAGGTGTGGAAGGAAGAGAAGGTACCTGCTATTGATTGGAAGAAGGGTTACCTTGTCAAACTGCCGAAGAAAGGAAACCTCAGTGTTTGCAAGAACTGGCGCGGAATCACTCTCCTGTCCACCCCAAGTAAAATATTAAGCCACATCATCCTGGAGAGGCTTAAAGATGCACTGGATTCAAAACTGCGACCGGAACAGGCAGGCTTCAGGAAGTACAAATCATGTGCAGACCAAATTGCAACGCTTCGTATCATCATAGAACAGAGCATAGAATGGCAATCAGCTCTCTACCTCAACTTCATCGACTTTGAGAAGGCCTTTGACAGCGTCGACCGAGAAGTAATTTGGAAACTGCTTCAATACTACGGAGTACCGCGAACCTTTATCCGCCTCATTCAACAACTATATGAAGATGCCACATGCCAAGTAATCCACAATGGGAAGCTCAGTGATGCCTTTGAAGTGAAGACAGGAGTGAAACAAGGTTGCCTACTATCACCATGATATTCCTTATTGTGGTGGACTGGATCATGCAGCAAACAGTAGGCAGCGAGAAGAGGGGGATACACTGGACGACGGAAAAGAACCTAGAAGACTTGGATTTCGCCGATGACTTGTGCCTAATGTCACACAAACTGGAAGATCTGCAGGCAAAAACTAACAAGTTGATAGAAGAGGCAGCTAAGACGGGACTTCAGGTGAATATAGAGAAGACAGAAGTGATGAAGATACCGCACCACCACCATCAACAACAACAACAAACTCCAATCACCATCAACCGGAGAAACTTGAAGGAAGTAACCTCCTTCACTTATCTAGGAAGCACTGTTTCAACTACAGGCGGGACGGACGAGGACATCAAAGTCAGAATCGGAAAAGCAAGACAGGCGTTCATTAGCCTGAAACCAGTGTGGAGATCTACTGCACTGCACTCAGCATGCGGAACAAGATACGGATTTTCAACACCAACGTCAAGTCAGTGCTCCTGTATGGTTCAGAGACTTGGCGCGTCACGAAAGGCATTTCCAATAAACTACAGACATTCATCAACAACTGCTTACGCTCGCTACTGGAGATCAGATGGCCAGAAAGAATAAGCAACAAGGAACTCTGGGAACGAACCAACCAAGAACCTATCACGCAACGAATATGCAGGAAGAAGTGGAGATGGATTGGCCATGCACTGAGAAGGCCGACTGAGGACATCACGCGTCAGGCCCTCGAGTGGAATCCCCATGGGAAGCGACAAGTTGGACGTCGAGGGTGACATGGAGGAGGTCGTGCGAGGAGGAAATGAGGGCTTGTGGGCTATCGTGGAACCAGGTTCAAAAGATCTCAGAGAACAAAGGTCACTGGAGGCGTGCTACTGAAGCCCTATGTTCCACTAGGAACCCAAGGGACTAATAATAATATAATAATAATATACCTTTAGAAGCCAAATTTCAGGAAATAGCGTATTCCTCTCGAAAGCCAAACGTTCGGACGTAGTGGTTGTTGCAGGTGACCTCAACGCACAGGTGGGTAGACTGAGTGAGGCAGAAAGGCACTTAGGTGGCACTTTCGGAATCCCAGCTGAACGTACAGATAACGGTGATCGCCTATTACAACTATGCTCAGATAACCGCCTATTTTTAGCCAGCACAAATTTCAGACATAAAGAAAGGCACTGTCTGACCTGGCGTCCACCGAGCTCGACTCAGCGATGGACACAGATAGACCACATTGCTATTAGTCATCGCTGGAGAGGATCGGTGGAAGACTGCCGCTCCTTCTGGAGTACGTGTTTGGACAGCGATCATGCGTTGGTCCGAGCACGTATATGCCTGCGTCTCAATGGACGTAGAAAAAATTTGGCAACAAAACCACTACGAGTTCTGCTGGACAACGAAAACACCAAAGCCGTGTTCAGTGAGAAGTTGGCTAGGCAGTTATCGGAACAAAAGACTGTCACTCATCCAGAAGAAGCTTGGTGCCATCTTCAGTCTACTGTAAAAGCAGCACTGAAGACTGTAGCCGACTCCAAGATAATGGCTAAAAAGAGCCAGTGGATATCAGCAGCTTCTTCCAAACTAATGGATGCACGTGAATGCATCCCTGCAGGCTCTGAGTACAATGAAGAGCGAGTGCAACGATCGTGAACAGTGGTGGGCAGCAAAGGCTAAAGAGATGGAAAAGGCAGCGGCGATCGGTAACAGTAGACAGTTATTTAGACTTATTAAGGAGACTGGGGGGAAATGGTCAACAACAGTTAGTGAGGTTATAGCGGAGAAGGACGGATCGGCGATTCACTCGCAGGGAAGGCGACTGGGACGATGGGCAGAACACTTTGAGGAACAGTTTAACTGGCCTCCAGCCACCATTGCGCTGCCCGCTATCCAGTCGGACCCTGAATGGGACATAGAGACAGGTCCCCCAACACTAGAAGAAGTTGAGAAAGCGGTAGGTAGCCTGAAACGGGGAAGGGCAGCAGGACCAGACGGACTACCTGCTGAGGTATACAAGAATGGTGGTAGAGTTCTCTTAGTCAGGCTAACGGAAGTGTTAGCCAGTATATGGGAATCAAATACGATCCCCTCCGACTGGTCTAAGTCACTGATCATCCCAGTCTTCAAGAAAGGCGAGAAGTCCTCTTGTGATAACCACAGAGGAATCAGCCTGACAAACATAGTGTCTAAGATCCTAAGTTCTATAATTCTCCGACGCCTGAGTGGAGCTCGGGAACAGCAAGCCCGAGAAAACCAGGCAGGCTTTAGACCTGGCCGTGGATGTATCGACCAAATATTCACACTGCGCCAGGTCCTGGAACATAGGCATGCTTACAGACGCCCGACAATAGCTGTATTTCTCGACCTGAAGGCGGCATTTGACTCCGTTGATCGAGAAGTCTTATGGCAGTGTCTGTCACTGAAAGGCGTGCCTAGTAAGTACATCACCTTATTGAAAGCTCTCTACTCGAACACTTGTGGGCATGTTAGAGCCTATGGTGAGTTGTCCAGGGAGCTATACTCATCAAGTGGTGTCCGTCAAGGATGCCCACTATCCCCATTCTTATTTAATTTTATCATAGATATTCTTATGGAGGTTTCCCTCTCGTCACCTAATTACAAAGACGTTGACCCGATCACAGATCTAGAATATGCAGATGACATAGTCCTGTTAGGTGAAGACGCTGACAAGATGCAGAGTCTTCTGAACACTTTGAGTGGGAATTTGAGAATGTTTGGGATGCGATTTTCACCACCCAAATGCAAATTTTTGCTCCAGGACTGGTCTTCAGCGGTACCGCGGTTAACAATAGAGAGTGAAGTGGTTGAGTGTGTTGACCACTTCACTTACCTGGGAAGTAGGATCAACCCGGTGGGTTAGTTGCCGATGAGATTTCTGCACGGATACAAAAGGCTCGATTGGCTTTTGCCAATTTGCGCCACCTATGGCGCCGCCGTGATATTCGTTTGTCTATTAAGGGTCGCGTGTACTGCACAGCAGTCCGCTCTGTTCTACTGTATGGCTGTGAAACATGGCCATTGAAAGTGGAAGACACAAAAAGGTTTCAGGTGTTTGACCACCGTTGCCTTCGTAGTATAGGACGTATTCCGTGGTGTCACCATGTGAGTAATGCAGAAGTTAGGTGTAGAGTTTTAGGGAGAAGAGGTAAGTCAGTCGACGAGGTTGTGAACCTTCATCGACTGAGATGGTTGGGACACGTACTACGTATGCCTAGTCACCGATTGCCTCGTCACACAATGTTGGCTGAGGTGGGTTCAGGCTGGAAAAAGGCCCGAGGTGGCCAGACTAAAACATGGCACCAATGTATGAAGTCTCTGACTGTTGGTTTAAGCCATGTAGGACGATGCAGACTAGGTGGTTGGGGTCCACGGGACAAGAGGAACCAGTGGTTGGAGACCCTAGGTGATATGGCTCAGAACCGAAGTCAGTGGCGCAGATGTATACACACATTATCCTCATCTTAACAACGCTATACCGAATCTCACTATTTTGTCACTCCTCTTTCCTTTCTTCTCGTACTTTATATTTCTTTTGACTGCATTCACTTATCTTCATCCTTCACCTCACTACCTTTTTACTTGATGTGCTGATATGAGGTGTGGCAACTCGGACCGTTACGCAGTAATGCCTGGTCCTATGTTGATAATGATGATGATGATGTATTCCTGTATTTTACTAATACACCTACTATTTATAAGTTACTGAGTGAGTAAACTGCAAAATTGTTTACTTAACAGATGTATGCCTTCATGCAAAAAAGTGAATTAGGCTTTAAACATCCTCCAATTGATAATCAACGATTCAAAATGCGTAGTCAACTCTCAATTCGCTTCAATTTCTGCAAATTTACACATAGACCACCCCGTCTAACCTGTCCACGTAAAAATGTTGGGTTAAATCTTAACACTATTCCTTCATTGAATTTTACTACATAGAAGCGATTCGTTGAGGCACATGAACGACTAGATATCATCAGTTTTCTCAGTCAGTCCACTTTTACAGTCATCTTTCACTAGCATATTTGAATAAAGAATAATACTAATTTCCTCTAGCTTATAACCTTCAGCATCAGAGCTTGATGGAAGTTTTTGGTTACCATAGTCACATTCTGAAAGAGCATAGGCTTTCTGAGAGGATAAAGTCAGCAACCCACTGACTAAAGGTTTATGACTACTTAAGAACTTCATCGTCCTATCTTTTCAATCAAAACTATAAACATTGGTATGACCATCATCATCAAGATTAGCATAGGACCCCACATTACTGTGTAACGGTCCAAGTTACCACAGTTCATATAAACACATCAAGTAAAAAGGTAATAAAATGGAAGATGAAAGGAAATTCGGTCAAAGGAAGTAGAAATAGAAAGTAGTAAAAGAGAAGAAGGAAGAATGAAATGGTGAGATTAAGTATAGCGGTAAATGTGAGGATAATGTGTGTACATTTGCGCCATTGACAATGGTTCTGGGCCATATCACCTAAAGTCAGTCTCCAACCACTGGTTTCTCTTGTCAAAAGGACCCCAACCGGCTAGTCTGCATCGCCCTACATGGCTCAAACCAACAGTCAGGGACTTCATACATTGATGTCATGTTTAGTCTGGCTAACCAGAGCCTTTTTTCAGCCTGAACCTACTTCGGCCAAGTGGTTAGTCATATGTAACACATCTCTCAGCCATCTCAGTTGATGAAGGTTCACAACCGCATCAATTGACTTACCCCTTCTCCCTCAAACTCTACGCCCGACTTCTGCGTTACTCACGTGGTAGCACCACGCGATACGGTCTATGCTACGAAGGTAGCGAGGGTCAAACACCTGAAGCTTTCTCATGTCTTCTATCTTTAATGCTCATGTTTCACACCTGTACAGGAGAACAGAGCGGACTTTATGTAGTACAGTACACTCGACCCTTAATAGACAATCGGATATCGTGGCAGCGCCATAGATGGCGTAAGTTAGCAGAAGCCAACCGAGCCATTTTTATTTGTGCTGAGATTTCGTCGGCCACTAACCCACCAGGACTGATCTGAATTCCTAGATAAGTGGAGTATTCAACGCGCCTAGCCACTTCACTCTCTATTGTTAGTCGGGGGACCGTCGAAGGCCAGTTCTGGAGCAACAATTTGCACTCAGGTGTTCGCCCATGCTCATTCATTGGTATGACCATAGGCAATCATGTTACTGAAACCTAAAACTTCTATCATTGTGTGTCAACAATCATTTTGTATTGATTCATAATAAATCTGGGGAAGAGGTGGGAATTCTTCCTAAAAGTTGTGATGACTACGCAACTAGCAAGATATAACAACTTTACAGCTACTTTATATTGCATTGATACACAATGAACGCATGTGGTAATAAACTAGAAAAGATTCAAGCCGTACCGAAAAATGACGGTTTGCGAGTTTCGATGCCTCAAAATCATGATTTTTGATACCTCTCATTCAACCGTTTTGTAACACTATCACTAAACAGCATAAACAAATCGATAATAAAGCACTTAACTCATTACTCGAGTCAAATAATAATAATACAAAGATTTGGAAATAAAGTCAACTCCAGTTGCAAATAACTACATTTCTAGGCCATTACTATTACATATCAATAGAACTAATGTTTTGAGAGATGACCTCAGCAGCCAATAGATCCAATGCGATAATCGCATTATTTGCTTTGAACTGCCATAAATTTTCACCAAAAAAAAGAAAACATTCAATAGGTATCAAATAAATCCTTCACAATCACTTAGATTCACACTATAGAAAGGTTATCACATTATATGCCCTTCAATACACATAAAAATCTACTTAGAGGAAAGACATTGAAACAACAGTTATTCATTTTACCGAAAAGCTCGTGTCCGTTGATAAGCTGCCAGGGTGACATTGGAAGGAACAAATTTGATATACATCGTGTGAATTGTGAGAATCTGCTTCCATCGAATTGCATCTCATCTGTAAACTCTTTGCTGAAGTATCAGTTGGAATGTAATTTACATTAATGCTTTGCCTCGACTGAACACATGAATTTGGACAGCTATAAAAGTGTTCACCAGTGTTCACATTTTGTACGCCTGATTTCCTCAACAGATTGTGTAAGTGGGTCAGGATAGAGATGGTGCTGGAAGGAAAATTACAGCATTCACCAGTCAACCGATCAATTGAACAGTGTATTGCAAACATCTCTGCAATTGTTGTATGACCCGAATGTGATAAAAATTTCGATGGCAACGTTCTGAATACATGACAATTCATTGGCCTAATGAATTTTTTTTCTGCTTGGATAGAGATAGTTCAATGAAACATGATGGTAATAACTATTCTGTTTAGCATTTATAACAAACTAAAAATTGATAGTTTTAGTTTAACAGTTTAGCAACCACTTCGACTTATAACAACGAAACGAAACGAACTCAACTAACTTGTGCACATCAGTGCAGTAGGCAATGAGCCAAGCCTATTTTGTGAGGGCTGGTGATACTATCTGGTTGCTCAGTTGGTGAAGAGGGGTTTGAACCCATGACCCACTGGTTGTATGTTAACCTCCTACACTACTGAGCCACAGACCCATGATTTCGACTTGTACAGTCTAGATGATAGGTTTTAACTGATGACAAGATGTATTCATGTGGCGCTCAAAGCCTGCAACTTTTAATGAAGTTCAGTGAAGTGAAAGCATAATACTCTCAAAATTGAAAAAACACGACAAAAGAATATCGATTGAGACTCCGTGGAGTTGTGACTCATTGTCATAGACACTTGCCTTCCAACTGATGATTTACGGGCTCGAAAGCCGCTTACTTATCAAGATTTGGGTAGCCACGTTGTATTATTAACCCTTATATAATAGGTGTGGTTTATTGTCTACTGCATTAACGTGCATTAAGTTTCTTAGTGGATTCCCTTTTTTATCGAACGAAAATACATCAGTTCAGGATGCTATAACTTACAACAGAAATGGAACGATAGCGAAATAAAAATGATAGGAATACGCTGAGGCACAATAAATGAAGGGTAATAAAATCTGAAGTATATTCGGAAAAACCACATAATTTGCGCCTCTGTGATCCAATGTGAGCTATGTCGCCACATCTTTCTAATTATTGAATCCTAACATTTTGTAGACCCTATTGAGTTCCTCGTGAACAAGTTTCTTGTATAAACTGTACGTCGAAAATATACTGCTCCAACTTTTATCCCAAGGAGAAATACTGGTTAACTTTAGGGCATGCGAAGAAAACATCTCAAGTTTTTTTTAAATGTATCAAATCATTCTCCAACACCACAACTTTCTTAGTCTTGCTTTTGTGTACTAAGATCAAACTGTGGTTTATGTGCATGTACCTACCTGTATATTATATATAAAAGACAAAGAAATTGATCACTGTCTTTCTGTTCAACTGGAGGACCAAAGTATTTCTGAGATAAAATGTAATATATCTAGTATGCTACGAAAATAGCGCTGGAGGTAGTAGAATCAGTAACACACTAGAGAGAGATGATAATACACGAATCGTACTCAGATAAACATGTTGGGAGAAAAACCCAGTGAGAACCACTTATTTTAGCACCTACTACATAAGTCTTCAAACAAACAACATTCAATATGATCCTTCAATATTATGCAACTTTCTAGACACCGAATTTCCTGGTGTGAGGTTTGTTTGTGAATTTATGGGTCGATGATAGAAATGAATACTTACACTAGGTCTGTACATTTTCATTCTCATATTAGGTAGTCACCAAGCTACTGTCTTGTATTTAAAGTCCTCTGGTATTTTTTCCCTGGAATGAGCAGTGAACTAGTAATATTGTGACGAAGTTACGTAATGAGACGAAATTCGTCTTAGTGCAGACAGGCGAAATCAACGGAGGACCTTGCACATAAGGGCAATAGTTAAAGTTGCCACACTTTACAATAGTACACGGAAGGGATAGCTATCAAAGCAGGGAAAGAGGGGAAGTTTAAAAAATCAGGGTAAGTCAAAAGATTCAAGCTTTATATGATGTCAAAGAGTGGATACATCTGCACAACTGTGACTGATTTCCAACCATGTCACCAAGAGTCTCAACCACTGATTCCTATTACACTGAGGACCAAGGCCAGTCAGTCGATATCTCCCTATACGGCTCAGACCAGCAGTCGGACTCCTTTGAATGGTACCATATCTACGTCTGGACACGCTGAACCCTCCCCCAACCGAATACAACCTCTTTTAGTATAGCATATAGAGGTGGGTAGTGGGTTGATATGTGCAGTATATGCCCAAGCCATTTCAGTCGGAGGCTCACAGCCTCATCAATCGACTCGCCTTTATTGCTTAGCATCCTCCGGCTGACCTCGAAATTGCTCACTTGGTGATTCCACCATAGGCAAGCAATGCTATGAAGATAATTATGGTCAAAATTTTGCAAACAGTATGTCCCACAGCCACATAATAGGACATAGGATACTCCAATGTAGTGTATTCGTCCTTTAACAGGTAGTCGGATATCTCAACTGTGAGCGCCACAGGTGACGCAAGTTGGCAAATGTCCATCCAAAATGAGATTTCGTCAGCAAACAGCGCGTTCGGACTGACATAGTTTCTTAAGTAAGTGAAGTGGTCGATATATTCCACCACCACTCCCTACCACTAAACTGGGAGTAGTCGCAACCATCCAGTCCTGGGGCAAAATCTTACATTTGATAAGTGTGAAGTGTACGTCAAACACTCAGATTTCTGCGAACGCGTCCAGAAGATTCTGCATTTTTTCAGCGTCTTCCCTAGCACGACAATATCATCTGCGTACTCCAAGTCAAGCAGATGACCTCCAAGGAGTAGATCAATACCAGTGTATACAACAGCAACTTGCCTCAGCAGGTTTCTTCGAAAATCCTCCTTTTCGCCAAAGACGTGAAACTCTTAAGAGAAATGAAAAAAACCAAGACCGTAATTCTTCTTGACTGGGAGATTTGAACCAGCATCAAATATGGGTTACCAACAGTGGGTTTACATTTAACGCTGAAAAATGCAAGTTGGTGCATTTAGGATAAAACATATCGTGAATATATTCTAAATGGTATCGAACTAGAACATCACTGGTGTGGAAAAAATTGGGCGTTTTATCCCCTCAGAACTAAATCTTTTCGCTAACTGCGATAGAACCACACTTCGTACTAACTTGGCGTTAGTAACAAACTTCTGGACAGTCAGATCGTAGGTGTTTCCACCAATTCTTCAACAGCCTTATACGGCCTCATTCAGAGTTTGCGACTATAGTTCTCCTTCACCGTGAGATGAAGTAGGTCTAGAACCCATTTATGGAGACAGTTAACATACCCACCAGATAGGTTAAGCTTAAAACATAAGAGGAATGACTTGCAGAATTCGACTTATGGTCTTGTGGAATACAGAAGACCAAGAGGGAATTTGATAATGACTTACAGTATCCTAAACACCTCTAGACAACAGATTTCAGTTGATACCAATCGTGCAGCATGCATACAAAAGCAAGGCATCGAACTTAGTACGTTGCTAGGTTCTGTAATGCTTTCTCTGAGAAGGTGGTTCACGGAACTGTCATAACCCTTCAAACGCCAACATGATAACTACTTAGGATAGAGCGAGTTGAATCACAACGAACTTGCTTTTCGTAACTAACCGCAATTTTCTCTTTTTTTGCGCATCGGTGAACAAACATAAAAACCTACAACCTGCTGTTTATGGACATACGAGCTAGCTAGGCGAAAGTTTCTATCCAGCTACCAACTATTTGAAACCTTTCTATATAACCATTGATAAGCAAATAACATAACAAATAAGAACTGAAGAATCTTTGAACTTACTTGGAGAGCCCAGAGTTTTAACTGCAGTCTCGTTTTGCTTCGATGTAATACGAGTAACAATGTGAAAAAACTTCTCGTCGAAGTCAACAAGACCAGCAGCAAAGAGGCAACTAGCTGGATACTCTGCAGTGCAACCATTATATAGACGAACACACAAGACATCACAAGAGATACAAACTAAACATATAGAGTTTGCACTTGCATCTATCTTATTAACCACAGAGTTAGCTTTTCTTCTCACAACTGACAGGTCTTTAGCACAAAGTTTCAAGTTTACAGGCACCGATACACATCCTGCGTAAATAAAGACAGAAGAATTGGGACCAAAAGTGTAAAAGCGTTTCTGCTGCACACTAGTAGCACACTGCAAATCATGAGAAACTAGACTCCAAAGAACGTGAAACACAGGGGTCGCAATCACACCCTAGAGACAAAATCTGTTAAACTATCAAAAAATGAAAAAGCAAACCTCAATAAGTAATTTTGCCTGACACCGCCATATCAAAGACGCCACTTTCTCATGAGTCATACAAGTGACATCTACGCCATTCACTTTCAGCAGACGGTCACCAACGGAGACTCCTGATCTTTCCGCTGGAGATCCACCTACGACATGATCTATTAAACAAGGACACTCATTTCGAAGACGAAACCCAAAGCCAATAGATGACCTAGGCACCTCAATCCTTTTAAGCATGAGGCGCAGCTGTCCGCGTCAAGGTCACACCGTACACAACCTTCGAAATTCGAATTTCAAGTTTCTAATATCCAATATCTTTTCGCGTGCTACTGTAAACTAACTGATTTCCTCGACCTCCCTTCTAGGCCTTTTGGGATGGTTTCAGATGTTATGTGGATTCTTACGCAGTATTTTTCCCCAATCAACTATTGTAGCTTTGGTTCAGCATTTAACATCCAGTAGTGCGAGTAGAGGAAATTTGTAGTTTTTGAGCTCTCGCTTCTAGGTCTTGAGGCTCGGTTCTTTTTGTCAGGTTGTACATCTTCGACCATAGCAGAAGTTTTTGCGTTTCCCTGCTTGCAGCTTTGGAAGTAGTGAATTTACTTTACTTTATTTGCAAATAGTTTGGTTTGTTTTACGGGGAGGGGGTAACAGAGCCGCTGATAAGATCGGTCATTCGTTCGCAATTCCTGTTGTTGTAGGCACCTGCAACTGAGTGCTAATCGTTAGTTAAAAAGTGACAGAGACAGGGTGGGTGGGGGATGAAAAAGAGAGGGGCGAAAAGTACTTATGAAAAGATAAATGTAACTGGTAGTAATATGGAGAGATGCGTCTTATTGCGGATACTAGGGTTGGGGAAGACAAGAGTGGAGGGGCGTATCATCGGATGCTACTGAGAAATGTTCGTGTTGAGCCATTTGCGCTCACATACCCATCCTGTGGTCGTTTGGAGGAGTTGGCTGATGTAGCTGTGGCCACTTCCTTCGCATAGCGTTCCATAAGGCATATTCTCTGTGGGAGAGGTTAGATCTCACTATCGTCTTTGCCGTGTGGTGGGGTAAGTGGACGGGGTTCCCACGGGACTGTCTGCTTTAGACCAGAAACGCTGACCTATTTGGGCTGTCCACTTGGTGAATGGTCTTGTAGGCTGTCACTTCAGTTTCCTTCGATAGCTTAGCGTGAACAAATCGAGTTGTCTGAGCGTTGTGTACATGCTTTGCCTGTTACTCTGACTGCCGACTTCGTTGCTCTTCTGTGTATCTTCTCAAGAGTATTTGCGCCTCTCTTTAGCAGTGAAGGTTGTTGACTTGAACACCTCTAGGTATGGTCTAACATAGGTTTTAAATACCATAAGGAATGATTCTGAGGTTTGAAAACACTAGCTGCCTTCTTACAAAGTGCATGATGGCGTTCGCCTTCGCTCCCATTCTCTTACAAGTGCCAGTAGTGTCCAGTGTGTCAGAAAAGTTTAGTCCTAGGTACTCCTCTGTGGATACTATGGTGATTGACTACTTGTCAAGAGCGTAGCGGATATTCATCGCCTCTGGTGTGCAAAGATACATCACCTTGCATTTCTCCAAGTTAAGGCTTCAACCGCTTGCTGCTGACAAGAAATCTAGTTGTAGCAGGTCGTTTTGGAGTATCCTAGGATCCCCTTTATCACCTATCGTCCTCCATATTTCGGTGTCGTCGGCGAATAGGAGGGTAAATAAGCCGGTTTTACTGGGGAGGTCATTTATGAATAGTAAAAATAGGAGTAACCCGAAGATCACTCCATGAGAAACTTCTGTTCTTGCGTTCCCTCAGGTTGGAGGAATTCTGTTTACTTTAGTTCGAAATTCCCCGTCCTCTAGGTATTGATACCCACTTCTGCAAGTTTGGTGAACATGGTGCAGTGCGGTAAGCTATCGAAAGCTTTGGCCAAGTCCGAGAAGGTAACGCGAACTGGTTGTTTGCTGTCCAGTCTTGTGGCCCAGTCATCCGAAGCAGTCGTAAAGTTTGTTGCACATGGCCGCCCGGTTTCGAAGACATACTTGGTGGGGTGAACGATGTTGTTTCCGTTCAGGTAGTCCGGAAAACCATCTGCAACCAGGCTTTTCAGTATCCTGGAAAGTATGGAGAGTAGCGCTACTGGTCTGCAGCTGCACGGGTTTTTTCGGCCACCTCCCTCAAGATTGGTGAAAGAATGGGGCGTCTCCACTCTTTTAAGAGTTGACTTACTTCCAACTAGTGCGTGAACAGGTTACACATGGGTATGCTTAGCACATCCAGAGAGTTGCGTGGGACCACCCGACTTATGTCATCATAGTCCGCATATTTCCTCATTCTAATAATAATATATATTTCATACAACAAAGGTTACATGAACACAAACCAGTTTACAGGTTTGATAATTTTGGTAATGAGAAATGACTATTATGTACAATGTTGAGCTATACGTTAGATACTGTTATTTATGGCGTACAGGAGGTGTGCTGAAGCACGCCCAGTTCGAATTTGAAGATTAACTGGTTATCGTTTGAATCATCTAATATTCTCGAAGGTGAGACCGAATCACGGTCATGACCTTGGGCGTGCGCGTTCGTCATAACGTTTTAATGGCAATATTTCACACTGGGAAATGCGATTTGTTCGATCCCGTTTGAATGAAGGACTGGTTAGGTAAACCTGAAAAGTGAGTAACAAAAGCGAGCAGCTGGTGAATTTTGAAGCAGGAGCACAAAAATACTACGCAGGAGTGGATCAACCATGATACATCTGGGTGAGCTCTTTGTACTGGCTTCAAAACTTACTTGAAGAAGTATCCAGAACCAACTGTTTGGAGGTAAGCTTAGGTGGAATAAGATGAGGGTGCGCACGATGGTAATGAAAATTAGTCTGGAACGGAAGATATCACTACGAAATAGAGAGATTAGAGGATTTTGGACCAGGTATTAAATTGTTATATACCTATGTACAAGCGTTTGATGAAGTTGTAAACATTTAAGTGAAATTCATGGTTTTTTCAAAGACGGTAACCACCCTTTATCTGGCCACGAGGGGGATGATCATGGTGTTGCCTGTTGAGTATTGCCGTATCAGGGCTATCGAAACAATATGGTGGTGTAGAGTGCTTACATGTAAGTACTGACAACAAGGGGAAAAAATAATGAAACATGTTACATGCTACGAAAATGTACCGATAGACAGTTCTTTTATCAGTCCGGAGTGGAGAGATTATTTTAAGGGAAGAAATCTAAGAAACAGGTGTTAAGTAGTGAGATCAGTTAGGTTACAGAGAAATGTGGGCTACATCAGAGCAGCTACAGAGTTCGCCGTTGCAAATCATATCGCACACCGCTTCCCCTCCACTCTTGGTCGTTTTTTAAGCCAGATTTAATCTTAACCTATGTGTTTAGATTTCCGTATTGTATACTTTTGCCATAACTGTTAGTTCTCCTCGAGTCTAGGTACCAGTGGCACCATTGTACATGGTGTTACCGTTTGTGGTTTGGCCGTCAACGATTTGATGAGATTCGTTAGATAGGAGGAATTCACTAGCTGATCGTTGAAACTAGCCGAGAGATCGATATGCTCGTATAAGAGCAGGAAGTTTGTTCCACAGCATGCTGTACTGAGTTAAGGAAAACCCACATCGAAGTTTTGAGCGATACTTATTTATTGGGATGGTGTATTCGCTATTAAGCAGTTTATATGCCTGTGTTGATTTAAAAGTGATAGCACATTTCGTTTAAGAGTTTTCAAATAAAAGGCGAAAAGGAAGTGTTGGGTTGAGCTTCAGGCGTCTCAGCCAGAGTAGTTCTAGTCCTAGTTTTTGCATCTTGCTTCGTAAGCAAGTCCTTCATAATGTATTAGTAGGCGCCGAGTAAAGTTTCGTTGAATGTTCTCTACTCGAATTCTGTCCGATACATTCATGCTACCATAGATAACGGTGCAGTACTCTAATATTGGGCGAACCATAGCCTTGTACAGTATAAGTTTTGCCTCAGGTATGAGTTTGTTTCTGTGTAGAAGACCGATGAGTCTTCTGCCCTTGGAAACTACTGAGTCTGCATACTCCGTAAAAGTCAAACTTCTGGAGTAAGTGATTCCGAGGTCTTTCACAGTGTTGTATACCTGCAGTGCAATATCACCCAAGTGTAGCGTTACTTCTGGGTGGGATTTATTGAAATGGAGGATGCCACTTTTATTTGGGTTTAGAGGGAGCTGCCAGGTCTCGCTCCATATGAATATCCTCTTCAGATCTTCTTGTATTTGAGAGAAACCCTGTGTTAGTGCTGCAGGAGAAAAGCTGTAGACTATCTTCAAGTCGTCAGCGAAAAGGTAGGGTATGCCATTTCGGATAACACTGCAGATATCGTTTACATAGATTAGGAAAAGTATCGGTCCTAGCACACTACCCTGGACGACACCACTTTGTATAAGTCTAGGGGTGGAGTAGCAATTACTGAATTTTACTACTTGGAAGCGACCCTCTAAAGATGTTCTGAGCCAGGACAGTAACGGGTCTCGGAAACCATATGATTGCAACTTAGTGACCAGGCGTTTGTGAGGCACCTTATCGAATGCTTGCTTGAAGTCTAAGAAAAGGGTAGTTACAAATAGGCCTTGGTCACGCTTGCTTGTAACGTTGTCTAGATAGTCAAGATAGCTTGTAGTGCATGACCGGCCTTTCAAGAATCCATGTTGTGCTGGTGAGAGTAATTGGTTAGTCGTCATATAGTCGACAACTGCTTTCACAATCACCTTTTCCATAGTCCTGGATACTACTGACGTGATGTTTATAGGTCGGTAGTTTTCTATATTAGATGTTGGTCCACATTTATGCTTAGGACATATGTATGATAGTTTCCAGTTCTCAGGGTAATTGCCACTGGAGAGGGACGTATTAAAGAGCTTCAAGAGAATCAGCGGTATATCTTCGCCACCTCTTTTTAACAAGATGGTTGGAATTCCATCAGGCCCCGCACTGTATGAGGTTCGAAGTGATGCTATAGCTAGAGAAATGTTTTGTTTAGAGAAGAGCACTGTACTTATGGAGTGAGTTGGTGTTGACGGTGCACCAATGACTTTTATTTCGTCCTCTTGTGTAAAGCAGCTAGCAAACTGGTAACCGAACAGCTCGCTGATTTGTAGTGGGTTATCGTAGAGGATGCCGTTGTCCATGATTAAACTAGGGGTACTATTTCTGGAGCTACTTATCCGGGTTTTCATCAGTCTCACTAGTGCTTCTGTAT